GTCTCAAACTCCTGACCTCAAGTGATCCACCTGCCTTGGCCTCCCAAAGTGCTGGGATTACAGGCGTGAGCCACTGCACCCACCTGGATCTGATATCTTTATGTAGGGCCTGCAGGGAGTAGGACTGGCAAGAAATGCCAGTAGTGTAGGACTTGGATGAAATATTTTCTTGAAGAGCTTTCTTCAGCAAAAATTTGGGGTTTTCCTGTCTATTTTTGTTTATTTTTATTGCAAAAATGTTTCAGCCACCAGAACAATCTTAGCACAACCAAAGTTTCTTGGATGTTTTTCATTTAGCAAAATTCTTTCTGGTGTTATGATACGTGTTTTCTGTCAGCTAAAACTTACAGGAATAGTGAACCACAAAGATTTCCTGAGGAGCTCCCACATGCTGTGTCTGAGGTTTCTCGTATTTCTTTTGGCCTCAATAACATTCTCCAATACTTCGAAATTATAGTTTGAGTCCAGTGTTAATGATTTCTCTTCAAAAAAAACAAATAAAACATTTGTGGTTTTATTTTGCTTGAACCAAGGAAAAGTCATAATAGAGACAACTACCTACTCTGCTTTACCCTCCACACAAAAACACCCCTTTCTAAAGCTGCCATATAATACTTTATGAAAAATAAACATTTCCCTGTATTTATTAGTGTATAAGCCTAATATCCCAAAACCTCTAAATATAGTGGTCAGAACAGTTGCAATAGGGAGCCCCCCCTTGCTGTAAAAGAAAAAAAAAGTCAAAATAAATTATCTTATGTTGGATGATCAGGTTTTAATAATAAGACATTATTTGCCTTTTTCACTCCCATTCTCATGTGCATGTACAGAGTACAAAAAGCTCATCAGATGGTTGCATATTCTATATTAACATTTAGCTATTTGAAACTATTACTTGTTGTTTTGGTATGGCTATTCCTCTTTGATGCTACAATGATCAGAAAAGACTTAAAATACTTCTGGCTTTCCAACTATATTATTTGTGTAAGCCTTGATTTTTCTGTATACTTCACCCAAAACAATAAATTGCAACACATTGAATGCGGAAGCAGATATAAGTATCCAGCAATTTTCTATTAAGCCAAACAATAAAGAGATTTGCAAAAAGTGTAAAACAATCTGTTCTTCTCTAGGAATTTTTTTCATTTTGGAGAATTTTTTCATTAAACACATGTTTAACATTGTAACAGGTTTATTGCTATTTTCAAGTAAAATGGTAATTTTTTTTTAAATTTTAGTTTTGAGTTCTAATATGATATCATTAGATGTCCATGTAAACAAAAGCTCTTTGGGGCTCTCAATAATTTTTTAGATTATAAGGAGAGCTGAGACCAAAAATTTGAGAACTACTGGTCAGGATATGGTTTTCTGAGATCTATTAAATAATACACAAGTTATTTGACAGTTTCAGAGAAAAACTGATAGCAATTTTATTCCTAAACATTTTTAAAGAATTAATGTAAACTTAATGAATAGAACTTGAGTGTTCATAGTGTTCATACAGTATCTGGGTTTACATGTGTTAGGAAGTGATGTGATTTGCACTAACAGCCAAAAATAGAAAATGCAAATATGAAATATAACTAGTAGAAAATAGAAAAATAGAAAAATGCAAATATGAAATATAACTAGTAGATAACTAGAAATTACATTTTATTGAACCTGCAGTACATTCACCTCAGTCTCCAAAGGTTGTCTTCTATGAAACTTTGTCAAATACTTTGTTACATACAGTCATAAAACAAAGTATGGTGATCACCCTGGTAAGCCAGATTTCTCCAGAACTGTAAAACAGTGCTTTCTGAGATAAAACTGATCTGTTACTAAAGATGGGGAAGAAACCAAAACTACTGAGGAATCACTCATAGTTATATAGCACAAATGGATGTGCCACACCTTTAACAAGAAGCCTGTGAAACCAGTCAAAAAGTTAATGGGAAGTTTTATTTGGAGAAAAGGCAGAATAAGCTACTGGTAGAATTTGCTGTATCACATGATACTGTTGGATATGATCTGTGATATACAAGGTGAGTGATTAATGTGCTGTTGTTGTGAAATGTGAAATAGCAAGTGTTCCAGATTATGGTGATCTGAACTGAGTATGTATATGTGCCCTCAGCTTATATACAGAACATATTTGAAGAACAAAATATTCTTGTTTCTCTTCTGATTATCATTTAAAAAAAAATCTATACTATATTTTGTTATTTTGTGATCTGTGACATAAAGTGAAAAAGGAAAGGACATTAGGGTCAGTGATGAGAGTATTAGCTATGTGTGCAGTAAAAAAGGGCATTATAATCTCAATAAAAAGTTTGTACTCATCTCAACTCTCTAAGTCTCTTGCCGAGAACACTTAGCAGTCAAGAATATGTCTCCTGGTTTTGACTGAGTCTTTTATTAGAAGAGGAGGACATGATGGCTTGCACCTGTAGTCCCAGCTACTCAAGAGGCTGAAGCCAGAGGACAGCCTGAGCCCAGGAGTTCTAGGCCAGCCTGGACAATACAGTGAGACCCTATCTAAAAAAAAAAGAGAGAGAAAGAGAGAGAGAGAAAGAAAGAGAAAAAGAAAAAAAGAAAACAAAAAGAACAGGAGTCAGCAAATTAAGGTTTTTGAGCCGGATTTGCCACTGTGACCTGTACCCCCATTTTTGTATGGCAGGTTTTTAAAATGTTTTTAAATAGCTAGGGAAAATATCAAAAGAATATTTTGTGACATGTGAAAATTATATGAAGTTCAAATTTCAGTGTCTATAAATAAAGTTTTATTGGGACATAGCCATACTCATTAGTTTATGTATTGGCTGTGTCTGTTTTCTCACTACAGCAGCAGACTTGATTAGTTGTGACAGAGACCATATGGCTTGCAGAGTTGAAATATTTACTATCTGGCCTTTTACCGAAAAAGGCTGTTGACCCAGAGTTAGAGTAACTTCCCTTTGATCCATCTTATTTATTGTTCTTCCCCATGGGAGTTCATTTGAAGAAAGGGTTCTACTGCCTTAAAAACAATGTTTTTTTTTAAAGTATGTAAGGTCAGCCCAAACAAATGAACTGGCATTCTTGTTCTCTTGCCCCCACTGGGGCAAGAGCAGGGTGGGGTTCACAGTTCACTTTGAAAATGCAGATTCAGTAATTCAAGGTAATATTTGAATATACATTATGGGTGATATCAAGATTAACCATTTGTGCTGCCAGAAATTTTAAATCTGGTAGAGGAATAAGAAACATATTTTCCTTATATTACTTTTTAAAAAATATTTTCTTAAAAAAAGAGATTAAACATAGCTTAAAAGAAAGGCATTTGACTCAATTCCTGTTCTCTCAAATTGTTATTCCACAAATTGCTACCAGTCCAGCAGATTCCCACTCTTCCTCAGTCTTCTGAATGCAAGAATATATTCCCTAAATGTCTTGGTCTATCTTAGCTCTCTCTCCTGTTTTCATAGTATCCAAATACTTTCCTGACATTGTTAATTTGCTCGGTTGTATTTGTACTGAACTGTAAGTAACTTTTTGGTGTCTTCCTTAATAGACATGGAAAGGACTGTTTCTTATTTTAAGTAATATAGTATTATCCTGCTTTTTCTAACTGAGTGAACCTGTTTCCTCATCTGTGGAATTGGAATAAAAATAATAATGATGGTGATAATAATACCTTTTATTGTTGTGAACCTTAACCTAGAAGATGAAAGTAAAATACTTAGTTAAGAATTTTTTTTTTTTCTGTTGTTTTATCTCTGAAACCTAATTACAGTCTTTTTGGAGATTTAAATATTTCATTGAATGGAATCAAGATTTATTTATTTATTTATTTATTTATTTATTTTTGTGAGACAGAGTTTTGCTCTGTCACCCAGGCTGGAGTGTAATGGCGTAATCTCGGCTTACTTCAACCTCCGCCTCCCAGGTTCAAGCCATTCTCCCACCTCAGCCTCCTGAGTAGCTGAGATTACAGGCACCCGCCATCAAGACCGGGTAATTTTTGTATTTTAAATAGAGACAGAGTTTCACCATGTTGGCCAGGCTGGTCTTGAACTCCTGACCTCAGATAATCTGCCTGCCTCAGCCTCCCAAAGTGTTGGGATTACAGGTGTGAGCCACTGCGCCCAGCCAAGATTTATTTTTAAACATGTCACCAACTGTATGCTTTAGAGAAGGTTGAAAGTTAAAATTAAAGCTTGCTGTTCAGAAATAGTTGTCCAGTAGATTTTCATCCAGTAGTGACATTGATATTTCTGTTCAATAGAGTTGGGGTGATTTTTTTTTTGGGTCTGTTCCAAAAATCTGTGCTCTTTCCAATAGCTTATATATAGTTAAAAGTATAAATGGAGCGCTTACTATGTGGCAAGGACTGTTCCAGCTGCCTTATATTAATTTAATTTTCATAAGAACTCTATGAACTAAGTGCTGTTACTGCTATTTTTAGATGAGACAGCTGATGCATAAAAGGATTATACATTTCCCGGTTACTTAGCTAGTAAGAGGCAGAGTTGGGATTTGAATCTGTAGATTGGTTTTTGTTTGTTTTGAGACGGAGTTTTGCTGTTGTCACCCAGGCTGGAGTGCAGTGGTGTGATCTCGGCTCACTGCAACCTCTGCCTCCTGGGTTCAAGCGATTCTCCTGCCTTAGCCTCCTGAGAAGCTGGGATTACAGGCACATGCTTGGCTAATTTTTATATTTTTGGTAGAGTCAGGTTTCACCATGTTGGCCAGGCTGGTCTGAAACTCCTCACCTCAGATGATCCACCCACCTTGTCCTCCCAAAGTGCTGGGATTACAGGCGTGAGCCAGTGCGCCCAGCAGATTGTATTCTTAACCTCTATGTTCTAATGCTTTTGTAAGCCATACTGTGTCCTATTTGTCATATGCTCGTATGTGAGATATAGCTTATCTAAGGTAACATTCTTGAAGAGTTTTAAGTTTGTTCACAGTGCTGAGCATATGGTAGATAATAGGTATTTGTGCTTGAATGAATTAAGAAATATGGGATGATAAAAATTATAATTCATACAATGTAATCATTGTTTAAGTATTCTTGGCTTTGAGTAATAACATTGTCGTTTGAGTTATCTGTAACTAACATTGGCTATTCTGAAGCAGTTTACTCTAAGACTGTTAACAATTGGGGCAATGAAATTGCTTAACAATCTATTTACATTTCTAAATTCATTTTTTCTTGCTGGTACTCACTCAAAAAGAAATCTGTGTGTTTTATTTAGAGTTTTTCCTTTTTTGGGTTCCTCTGTTGAATCGTTTGTTGATTTGTTTGTGTTAAATGGCATTGTATTATAACAGATAATTCAGTTCTTATAGAAGAAACCTTAAAGAATTGGGACATACTGGTTACAATAGTGAAGGTCTGGTATTAAGTTTGGCCTCCGAAACTTCTGAAATAGTAATGTTCTTGAAATATGCTTTATTTTGTGTATTTTTCAGAATTCTCCACTTTACCAATACTTACAGGATCTGGGACACACAGACTTTGAAATATGTTCTTCTTTGTCACCAAAAACAGAAAAATGCACAACAGAGGGACAACAAAAGCCTCCTACAAGAGTCCTACCAAAAGTAAGAAAGCATGCTCATTCTTTCTGGCTGAATCTTTTGCACTTTACCTTACTGGCTATTTAGATACTTCTTAAGCACTTCCATATCCTCCCTCACACTGGTAAGACTATTTATTTCATCAATAGTACAAAACTTTCTTTTTAGATAAACATGAATCCTTACTGCTTTGGAATATTTTGTAGGTAATTTATATCCAGTGAGGAAATAATTTGGTAGAGAATTAAAATACATTACTTATTTAAATATTGATGCTCTCCAAACAGAACCGGAAAAAATATACTAAAACTTTAATGAGAGCACAACTAATAGGAATCCTCTACTAACTGGATTTTTTCTCTTTAAATCTTTTTTTTTTTTTTCAAAGTATGAATTACAAGAAAGCAAATTGATATTTCTTAAACACAGTTTCAGGGGTATATAATGGAGTGAGTATAACTTCTGGTACCTTTTTTAATCTATAGAATTAAATACATTTATACAGTAAATATCTCATAGTCAATGTCCAGCATTGTGAAGCTGAGATACTAGAAAAATCTCCATTAATTATGTTGTACAAAATGCATTTTCTAGATTCATTTATGTCCTGCTAGCCATGTTTACTAAGATGAGAAATTTATGGTCCAGGCGCGGTGGCTCACGCCTGTAATCCCAGCACTTTGGGAGACCAAGGCGAGTGGATCACCTGAGGTCAGGAGTTTGAGACCAGCCTGGCCAACATGGTGAAATCCTGTCTCTACTAAAAATAGAAAAATTATCTGGGCGTGGTGGCGGGCGCCTGTAATCCCAGCTACTCAGGAGGCTGAGGCAGGAGAATCGCTTGAACCTGGGAGGCGGAGGTGGCAGTGAACCGAGATCATGCCATTGCACTCCAGCCTGGGCAGCAAGAGCAAAACTCGGTCTCAAAACATAAAAAAATAAAAATATTTACTCTGTTTTTAGGTGAGACAGTTGAAGCATAGGAGGATTATAAATTATCATAGGTTACTTAGCTTGTGAGAGGTGGAGTTGGGATTAGAACCTGTAGTTTACTCCCAGAGTTTATGTTCCTAACCTCTGTGTACCTGTCTACTACATTTTAGTTTTAACCAAAGGAATTGTAATTTAATAGAAAAAATATAACCAAATTTCCTCATTCCTTGAGCATTCTAGTTTAATCAGGGTTTTATCACTATTGAGAAGAGCATGTAAAGCTTTCAATTAGTCATTTACAGGGAAAGTATGGATTGGCATAAGGATCCTTTCCCCAATCTTCTTACAAAGACACCTAAAATGTAAGGTAACCAAGCTGGCCCATTTGTAACAGCCAAGTAAACACTAGAGAATTTTTCGACTAACACCCAGAAGGTGAGAGTTAGAATTAGAGTTCGCATGGATCAGAACCAGTTTTCCTAGTCCTCCATTGATACCATTTCTTCCCTGTGCCCTTTTTAAGTATAAATGTTCCTGGGAAGGGGTTTGTATATAATAGGCTATTTAATAAGCTTGGATTTGAGGTTACTTGGCAACACAAAACAAAGAATGGCCAGGGGATAGTCTTAGAGCAGCAGATGGTCATTTACCTCTAATTTTTTGTTTTGTTTTGTTTTGATACAAACTTGGGTTTTATGGGTATTATTGTCATTTATGACAAGTATTTTTATATTTAGAAATGTTGTTGCTAGTTTATAAATAAGTCAAATGAGAGTTTAAAATTGAATCCCCTCAGAAATCGAGGAACAATAAAAAGCATAGCCAGAGGTTGTTTTAAAAAATTACCAGGCTGGGCACAAAGGCTCATGTCTATAATCCCAGCACTTTGGGAGGCCAAGGCGGAAGGACCGCTTGAGCCCAGGTGTTGGAGACCCGCCGGGGCAACATAGCAAGACCCTGTCTCAAAAAAATTATCGTATGTCTAGAAAGTTTGTTTTGTCTTCATTTTATGTATGTATGTATGTATGTATTTATTTATTTGAGATGGGGTCTTCCCCTATCACCCAGGCTGGAGTGTAGTGGTATGATTACAATTCACTGCAGCCTTCACTTTCTGGGCTCAAGTGATCCTCCCACCTCTGCCTCCCACGTACCTGGGACCACAGACATGTGCCACCATGCCCAGCTAATTTTGTTCTTTATTTTTTGTAGAGATTTAAAAATTGCCACTCACTGTGTTGCCCAGGTTGGTCTCAAACTCCTGACTTCAAGCAATCCTCCTACCTTGGCCTTACAGGTGTGAGCCACCACACCCAGTCATATTGCACATTTCTAAGACAAGTTTTTAACTGTAGGATCTATGTTTTTCTAAAATGAAGTTTTTTCCTTTTTTTGTGTGTTTTGTTTTGTTTTGTTTTGTTTTTGTTTTTGAGACGGAGTCTCACTCTCGCCCAGGCTGGAGTGCAGTGATACGATCTTGGCTCACTGCAACATCCATCTCCCAGGTTCAAGTAATTCTGCCTCAGCTTCCCAAGTAGCTGGGATTATAGGCACAGGCCACCACGCCCAGCCAAGTTTTGTATTTTTAGTAGAGACAGGGTCTTACCATGTTGGCCAGGCTGGTCTTGAACTCCCAACCTCAAGTGATCTGCCTACCTCAGCCTCCCAAACTGCTGGGATTACAGGAGTGAGCAACCGTGCCCGACCAATTTTTTTCCTAATTTGGGGAGAGCTAAATTTTAGAAAACTTGTTGTATTGTTTAGCTCATTGTCAGGGAATGTATGTTTACAATCGCTCCCAAAATTCTTTTCAAGGAATGAAGTATCAATTACTTCCTCTGAAAAGCTATTTTTCTATGAGTTCTTAATGAAACCATCTTTAGCCTCTTTTTTAACTTTACTTTTGCATATGCTTATTAGTAGTTGTTAAGTAGTCTGCCCTGATATTCTTACTATGAATATTCATTCTGTCTCTTTTTCTGGTTTCTTTTCCTATGATTATTCTTAAATTCATTCCGTAGAGTTTTAGCAGCAGGCTTCTTGTTGGCTTGGTGTCTTCTCTGGGGATCTCATCTACTTTCTTGCCACTTATGTCCGTTCTTCAGTCTTTGCTGAGTTCCAGTTGCTTCTTAGACATTTTCATCTGCATGTGCCCCACAAAGCTCAGATTCAACTTGTCTAAAATAGGACTTCCTCAGACACCCCCAAAACAAACAAGCTAAAAAATATTCTTTTTAATAGTCCAAAATCACCACCCTCTCAGATACCCCTAAAACAAACAAACAAAAAAATGTTCTTTTAAATAGTCCCAAATCACCATACTCTCAGTTACCATACCATTTCCAATCGTGCTGACATAGCCTTGGTCATCAAGTGATACATCAGGTCAGCTTCTATGTCTCTTTAACTCTTATTCATGATCATTTTTGTACTCATTACCTAATTTAAAGGCCTTTATTGTTATTTAGCTGGGTTATTAATTTTTTTTTTTTAATTTTTTGAGATGGAGTCTCGCACTGTAGCCCAGGCTGGAGTGCAGTGGTGCGATCTCAGCTAACTGCAACCTCTGCCTCCTGGGTTCAAGCGATTCTCCTGCCTCAGCCTCCTGAGTAGCTGGGATTACAGGTGCCCGCCACCACGCCCAGCTGATTTTTTGTATTTTCAGTAGAGACAGGGTTTCACTATGTTGGCCAGGTTGGTCTCGAACTCCTGACCTCATGATCCACCCACCTCGACCTCCCAAAGTGCTGGGATTACAGGCAGGAGCCACCGCCCCCAGCCTTGAATATCCTCTTACTCATGCTTCTTGTCTACAATCATTCCCTGCCAGTTTAGCCTCTGCACTATTGCCAATTATTTTTCTTTATTGTTTTGCTTCCTTGCATAAAAATCTTTTGTAGCTCCTCACGACCTACAGGATAATATTCATACTATTATAGTGTATAAGACTAAGATCCTTTAAAACCTATCTCAGTGTACCTTTTTAACTTCCTTACTAATTCCTTCTTCCCTTGAGTCATAACTGTCCTGGCATGCGCCACCATCCCTGTGGCATGTGTTTTCATGGCTCTTTCCTTCATCTTCTTCCCTTAACTGAAGTATTCTTCTCTCTTTTTTTTTTTTGAGACGCAGTTTCGCTCTTGTAGCCCAGGCTGGAGTGCAATGGCGTGATCTCGGCTCACCACAACCTCTGCCTCCTGGGTTCAAATAATTCTCCTGCCTCAGCCCCCTGAGTAGCTGGGATTACAGGCATGCATCACCATGCCTGGCTAATTTTGTATTTTTCATAGAGACGGGGTTTCTCCATGTTGGTCAGGCTGGTCTTGAACCCCCGACCTCAGGTGATCTGCCCGCCTCGGCCTCCCAAAGTGCTGGGATTACAGGCATGAGCCACCGCGCCCAGCCCGTTCTTCCTTTCTTTGTTGAATTCCTACTCATCCATTAGGACTGAGCTCCAGTGTTAGCTCCTCTCTGACCTCTTCTTTTCCAATACTTTTTCAGACTTTACATTGATTGTAATTCTGTATATTGTCTCTTCTTCTATACTAAGTTCTTGAAAACAACAGTTACATGTATTTATCTTTTTTCCCATGACCCTTTGCAGTACCTGGGATATAGTAATCACTCAATGAATATAAACTGCACTTACTGGCATGCTCAAGGAATGGGCTATTAAGGTAAATTGAATTTTTGGTTGATTCAGTAGTAAAACTTTTTTATCAATATATGATAGTTTTTCTAAAATGGTCAAAGTATCTTTTTGACTTAGTATTGTGGAATGAAATGGTCTTAATATTTGAGAACTTGTAACCAGGTTCTCAAAAAGAAAAAGATTTTTCTTTCTGAAATAAATACTATCATCATGTTGATATAGTACATAGTCTTCCCAGGATAAATGGGCTGCTTCAGAATGACTTCTACCTGTTCTGTAAAAATCGGATTTTCAGGCCTCAATCCAAATGTATCGAATCACAATCTTTAGTTTGGGGGCCTGAGAATATGTTTCTAACTAAAATCTCCAGGTGATCCTGATATGCAACAAAATTTAAGAACTAATAAGGAGGCTGAGACATATTGACAAAGTACATAACCTGGACAATTTTTTTCTCCCTTTTCTGATAAAAATTCTCATTGATTGGAGGTAAGTAACTGGAAGTTTTTCTGCTGTTTGGGTATGCTTTAATAATCTTATACCATGTCATTCGTCTCCTTCAGCAAGGTATCCTGTTAAAAGTGGCTGAAACCATCAAAAGTTGGATTTTTTTTTCTCAGTGCAATAAGAAAGATGACTTACTTCACAAGTTGGTAAGTGGTCACTTCTTTTTGTCACTTTTCAGGGTTCTAGGTTATTAGTGAAAGAATTGGTGAATCAGAATTTGTTTTGCTATCAATTTGAGCAGTGATTGATTTTTACTAGAGATTCTGCAGTAACTCAGGATCTTTTAATTTGGGCTTACTTGTATTATTTATAGCTTTTAAAGAGGTTATTAGCCACTCAGAATGGAATATTCTGATAGTTATTGAAACTTTGTTAGATCGTGAATTTACTATTGCCCTCTTCCTCCATTGACAGGTATTCCTCTCTATAGGTGAAGGAATATGTCATTAGTGGGATCAATTTAATCTGTTAAATCACAGAATTTCCCAAAGACTCTAAACAGTCAACCTGAAAGGTCTTTGTGATTTTTGTGAGGTTTTGTTTTTTTCTACTCTCTGCTGTAACAGAACTCCAAAGGGGAAATAATTCAACCTTCTGACATCCTAACAATACAAAATCCAGGGAGTATAGCCTAAAAATTCAAGTTATGTGATTCTCATGGCTCCCAGAAGGAGTAAAGGAGTAATGTAGTTACAAGTAAGCAGGTTTCAGGATCTCTACTGGCCTGTGACCTTAAGAATTATCATTCTTGTACATTAACATTTGTAAAGAGATTGTTTACAAAGTGCTTTCACATTTTGATTTGGTAATCTAAACAACACTATAAGATTTAGTCTACTTCACTAATGAGAAAACCAAGGTTCAGACAATTCAGTTTTGTTTTAATAACTTACTGAGTGAATTGTCTAAAAATGTTCAGCTAGAAAGTGATAGAGCCAGAATTTGAATCCAGGTCTCTTGGATCCAAAGCCATGCTCTTTCTGCTATAGCATACGACCTCTCTAGCTCAAGTATTATTATTTTTTGACTGACTAAAATTACTTTTTTAGCAATCCAAATTGTCAAGTTCTTTGTTCAGGGTTTCATCTTTGTTGAAGGTGTGTTGAGAAGGTCAATGAAGTGTCTTATCGTCTACATAGAATGTCATTTTTATCCAGGTGGAGCCATCTCATTCTTCAGTGATACTAGGACTGTGGTAAGGTATATGGATCCATATACATTTTTCTGTGATTTAGTCATAGTCTGCCTAGGCCTGGTCTTTTCATTCCTGATTCTGTGTCACTGGCCACATGTTTCATATGATGTTTCACTATAAAGTGCCAGCTTCTGTATGCATCCCTTTTGTGCCTACATTATGAAGAACTATAAGAATACTTACCTAAGGAATAGTTTACTAGTAATGGAATAAGAAATTGCCAGGTTGGCTTTTGGCGTGAGATTGCTTGACTTCTTCCCCTTGATTGTGACATATTTAAAATGTTGTTAGCTATATAATGAGGACTTCAGTAAGAATGTGGTGAACCATATATCAAACTAAGCCCATGTCCTCTTGATCAGGGTTATATGCCACTTTTAGAGAATAAGATTTTTAATATTAGGTGCATTTAGATATATTTTATTTATCTTCAGTAAAGAGAGTATCTCAATGAAATGCTGATCTTTCTTGAAGATATTGAAGCAGGCCCTCATTTCTTTTATGAGAATACTGGCAATTACTCTGTGATATCTGAACATTTTACTATTGTTCATTTTTATAGTATTTTTCTTAAGAATTAAAAAAATCCTTGATGGTAGTAGTAATAGCACTTTTTAAGTGCTTTTTAGCCTATAAAGTGCCTTCACACATGTTATCTCATTTGATCCGTATATCAAAAGCCCCATGATATTCCACAGTGATTAAGATCTTTAAAGAATACTGACACATGAATAAGTTTCCTTCTCCATCCCTAAGGAAAAAGAAATCAAAATCTCTTAATTTTTTATCTGTGCCTTCTCATAACCTTTCATTTCATCCAGGCAGAAAGGAATTCCTAAGTACTTTCTCATGCCACTTCCCTATTTAGATTCTAGAAAGATCTTCGTCAATCAAATCAAGTCCAAATTTGTCACGTCAGTACTAAAGAGTCTGCATAATTTGGCCCTAACCTACCTTTCCAGCTTTGTCCACCAGTATTTGTATCAATGATCCCAGTCTTCATTTTCCTTTATTCCATACTTACTCTGTATGTCTGTGTTTGTGCTTTTATACTGTGATGGAATTCTTTCTGGTTTTTTGTTTTTTTTTTCTTGATCCAATGGAATCTTTCAATAAGCACTCCTAGCTTTTTCTCAAAGTTTTCCCAAAACTTCAGCCTATTGTATCTCTTATTTTCTGCATCAACCTGGTAATAATTATGTTGTGTTCTGTAAGTTTTTATATTGTAATATATCCAACATGTGCTTTTCTTTATTGTTTTAATTATTGCATAGATAGTGACAACAGTAATGGCTAACATACAGTGCTTACTATGAGCCAAACACTCCTCTTGGTATTTTATAGATATTGACTTATTTAATCCTCGTAACAACCCTATGAAGTAGCTACTGTTATTATCCCAATTTTGCCAAAGAGGAAACTGGCACAGAGAGCCTATTAACATGCTTAAGTTGTGGAGCAAGAATATAAAGCTAGACACTAAGTCTTGGCACTCAGACTTGTTGAAAATGTGCCAGAGTTTACGTAGTACACATCCCAGGAGCATAGAGCCTCCAGCCATGCCGGTGATACTTGCTAATACTTAAATCGATCAGAATTAGCACCTTTTCAGTTTCTTCATTTGTTTGAGACCTGGATCTGGGCTTCCCAGTCCAAATAGGACTGTCATGACATGTTTCTTAATTTGCAGGTGTCAATTTTTCTGGTACTTTGATTGTTACATTGTAACACGGTTAACATGTTTTCTGCAGTTCTTATTTTTTGTAATCAAAGAGTAATATATAATTTTACATTTTATCCTTAAGAAAGATACTTAATTCATTAATCTGATTCAATTTAAACAGCTATAGTAATCAGAATGTAGTTCAAGTTTTTCCTCTATATGAGGCAGTCTAATCACTAAGATAACACTGTTTTAGTTATTTGGAGTGTCTTGGTGCCTTTCAAGTTCATTTGTATGCATAGATGATTGTAGGTTGTTGGTTGATCACTTTTTTTTTTTTTTTGTGAAGACTGAGTCTCATTCTACTGTTCAGGCTGCAGTACAGTGGCACCATCCTGGCTCACTACAACCTCTGCCTCCCAGGCTCAAGCAATTCTTGTGCCTCAACCTTATAAGTAGCTGAGACTACAGGTGCACACCACCAAACCTGGCTAATATGCTGGTCTTGAACTCCTGGCCTCAAGTAATCTGCCCACCTTAACCTCCCAAAGTGCTGGGATTATAGGGGTGAGCCACCGTGCCCAGTCGGTTTGTCACATTCTTAAATCAGATATTCCTAAAGCTGTTAATACTTCCTCTAAGCATGTTGGTTTTGGGGAGGTGTTATCCCAGTTTTACACGAAGTCTGATGCCAGGGAATGGTGTTAAAGAAAGTGAATAACTGATTACGCCGAGTGTCTGTAAAGAGAGAGCACTGCCGTTGAATATTACTGGCTTTTCCAGTCTCTGTCAGCCTTGGCCTTCAACTAGTTAGGCTTCTTCAAAGTTACCTTATATGTATGTACATAGAAGTCTCATAAAAGGTATGGTTTAAAGCTTTTGTAGCAAAAGTTTGATTTTTAATACTTGCATTGAATATGGCTGTGTCTAATTGGGGAACCAAATAGTAAGATCAATTTCAGAGATTACTCGAAAAGCTACCATGCCCCATCTCCTGCGCTCCTTTTTTCTCCCCTCTGAACAATAGTATAAAGGGAATTGTGTTGCTCTGTCTTTGTGAAAGTGGGGTGGGATGTCAAATTAAGTGGTTCCTAATGTTAGAATCGGAATTGTAGGAAGAGAAAAGAGGCAATTGTTCCAATATGAAACATAAAAGTGCTGCAGAGATACATACAGAGTGTGTCAGTAGATGGTAAAAAAAAAAGCCATGTCAGGCTAAAAGAAAGATCAACATTCCTTTGAGAAGATGCTCTCTTTTTGGACTGAAGATAAATAAAATATATCTAAATGCACCTAATATTAAAAATCTTATTCTCTAAAAGTGGCATATAACCCTGATCAAGAGGTCATGGGCTCAGTTTGATATATGGTTCACCACATTCTTACTGAAGTCCTCATTATGATCAGCTAGGGCTGGAATGTGTGGTGTGGGAATGATTAAATTAACTAAGAGCAAACCTGTTGCCTTCACACCCTAGAGCTAGTGGGTTTTACTTTAATTGCTAATGGCCTTGTCCATCGTTCTCTTTATTTTTATCATATAGTAGGATCACTCTAGTCCTAAATTTGTTTGTTTGGTTTTGGTTTTTTAATTATTTATTTATTTATTTATTTTTGAGACAGAATCTTGCTCTGTCACCCAGGTTGTAGTGCAGTGGCACAATCTCGGCTTACTGCAACCTCCGCCTCCTGGGTTCAGGAGATTGTCCTGCCTCAGCTTCCCGAGTAGCCGGGATTACAGGCATGTGCCACCATGCCCAGCTAATTTTTGTATGTTAGTAGAGATGGGATTTCACCATATTGGCCAGGCTGGTCTCGAATTCCTGACCTCAGGTGATCTGCCTGCCTTGGCCTCCCAAAGTGCTGGGACTACAGGCGTGAGCCACTGCACTTGGCCTCTATTTGTTTAAATTTAATGCAAAATACAGCTTTAAATTTTCTTTGGAGGCAGACTGTGCGGGGAAACACAACTACCAAATGCGTAGGATTTGAAATCAAAATTCTGGAAAGTTACTTAATTTCTTTGGGCTTTGGTGTTCTTCCCTATATAATGGAGAGGAGGATGATAAGGTACATCACAGGGTTACCGTGAGAATTCACCTGTCAGCCCTAGGAGTGCTACCTCATTTCTCACCTCTCTACCATGTGCGCTCTGTGCACAATCTATTAATAATATCATCTAGTACCGACAACTCACAGTTCCCTAAATTAGAAAGGCTTTTATCCTGTACCGTCCCACTTCTCCAACTCCTTTGGTTAATTCTTGTTCATCCTTTAAAACTTAGCTCAGGCTTCACCTCTTTTACTTTCTCAGACTTCATTACAGGCTTGGTCCCTCTATGCCATTTTCATAGTACTCTAGGTGTATTTCATCACGCTCCTTTGCATGTTATATTGCAACTGTTTACTTTTCGGGTCTCTTCATTAAACTATGAACTCTTTAAGAATATATCTTGTTCATTTTGTGTCTTCTGTGTCAAGCCTGGTGCATGGCTTATGGAAGGTATTCCTTGATAGGTGAATAGAAAGAAGAGAGGGAGAAATAAATGAGCTGGTATATGTGAAGGCGTTTTGTAAACTATAAAATGCTATGCAAATGTTAGTGTGATTTTACATTGTATTCCTTAATAGTGTATTTTTAAATATCTGAATATCCATTTTTAGGAGGCCTTGATCCTGCTAATAAAATTCTTAAATATTGACTGTATTGTTACAGCTTCAGGGACAGCATCTTTAATGTTATAGGATTATATTTTCCATGTTGTGCCCTAGCAATTTAATCAATTAGGCTTAACTAGACAGGTTTGTTAATCTGTAATTACTTTTCATCTTGTTATTAAAAATTTATATTTTACATCTGATGGCTCAATAATGTCTACCTCAATCTTTATTGTTTCACATTTACAGTGAAAATAAAACTCATCTATCATACTGAAGGTAGATTGGACTGTTGTTTCTTCTTGAAGTATCTTCTGAAAATAAACACCACTAAATTTTATTAGTACATTAAGAGTTTAGCGTTTAATGCAATATTATATATGTGTTAATACCTCTCTTCTGGTATTTTAATGGCAAGGATATTGGATTCCGACTCGACTCATTACATACCATCCTGCAACAGGAAGTCCTGTTACAAGAGGATGTGGAGCTGATTGAGCTACTTGATCCCAGTATCCTGTCTGCAGGGCAATCTCAACAACAGGAAAATGGACACCTTCCAACACTTTGCTCCCTGGCAACCCCTAATATTTGGTACTGTCGAGAAAACACCTATTCTTTGACTGCTTACATATAGAGCATTAGCAGAGGAAACCCATCCTCATGCTCTCCATTGTAAAGGCATAAACATTCTATACATTTAGCAGTACAATTAAAGTAACAATATGGGGGGGGAAGTACCTTTCTAAAATAAATACCATTTAAAGTGAAGCTAGGGGAAAAAATCCAATTTGGTTATTATATACTTCCAACTCACTAAAATTAGTTCTGTGTCCAGCAACCTAGCAAATGGGTATAACAAGTGCCAAAAAGTTACTCTGCCAGGTGTAGTGGCTTATGCCTGTAATCCCAACACTTTGGGAGGCTGAAGTGGTAGGATTGCTTAAGGCCAAGAGTTTGAGACCAGCTTGGGCAACATAGCAAAACCCCATCTCTACAAAACATAAAAAAATGTGTTCGCGTATGGTGGCATATGTCTGTAGACCTAGCTCCTTAAGATACTGATGTGGAAGGATTGCTTGAGCCCAGCAGTTGCAGAGTGCAGTGAGTCATGATCGCACCACTGCACTCCAGCCTGAGCAACAAAGCGAGACCCTGTCTCTAAGGGAATAAAAAAGAATTTCTTTTACTCATACACCTATGCACATATGTGCATGCAAGCCTATCCTTCTTTATGTTTCTTTATAATAGGTTTTATCATAACTATATTGTAGAGACACCAAGAATAGGATGGGACATGGAGGTAGGCAGTTGATTCTGGCTGTGTTGGCTGAGAAAAGATAACAGGGAACATGATTTGATGATTCAGACCATCCTAAAACTTTTCAACCTCTTGAACTATTTGGGTCTAGAGCAGAAGTCCCAGGCAATAATCTGTTAAAAGAAAAAAAAAGAATGTGTAGCAAAAAGGGATTATATATAAAGAATTATTGATTTCTTCTTCCTATTAAAGTACTTTATTAAATTTGGCATAGAAGGGAGGAATGAATCAAGAAGTACAGTAAATCACTGCTCAAACTGTTCAAGTTATATAGGCAGTTACATTCATTGGCCTTAAGGTTCTGTATTTATGTCTTCTCTGTCACACTGACAAATGCTTCACTCTCCAGTCACTCAGATATGATCATGAAGAAGTGAAGCATCTTATCCTTCAAAAATATGAGAATTTAAGGAGCTGATAGAAGGAACTATAGGTTTTTAAGAATTTGCTACTTTACTAAGTTTCCTTTACCCACAAATATAACCAGGCAACTATGAGACCTATAAATGATTTTAGAGTTTACTATTAATATATAAAAATATATGATGAGATTTTGCTTTATGGTATTACCAGTATTATCTAAAAAGTAAAGGATTCTAAAGGAAATTAGGGCAAATATTTATTTATTTACTTATTTTTTGAGACATGGTCTCACTCTGTTCCTTAGGCTGGAGCACAGTGGTGTGATGTTGGCTCACTACAGCCTCGGCCTGCTAGACTCAAGTGATCCTCCCACCCTAGCCTCCTAAGTACCTGGTACTATAGGAGCATGCCACCACAGCTGGCTAATTTTTGTGGTTTTTGCAGAGACAGGGTTTTGCCATGTTGCCCAGGCTGGTCTTGAACTCCTGTACTCAAGTGATCTGCCTGCCTTAGCCTCCCAAAGTGCTGGGATTACAGGTGCGAGCCCTGCACCTGGCCAGGGCAAATATTAATAAGAAATTGTGTGTGATTTTCTTTGCAATATGATTATAACTCTTTTCAAATATTGCTGATGTTTTTCAGATATTCTCAGACACATCCCCCTTATACTCCCCTCTTTCTTTTCTTTTCTTTTTTTTTTTTTTTTTTTGTGAGACAAGGTCCTGCTTTGTCACCCAGGCTGGAGTGCAGTGGCGTGATCTCGGCTTGCTGCAGCCTGCTCAAGTGATCCTTCCACCTCAGCCTCCTGTATAGCTGGGACTACGGGTACATGCCACCACACCCAGCTAATTTTTTAATGTTTTGTAGAGAAGGGGTCCCACTGTGTTGCCCAGGCTGGTCTCGAACTCCTGGGCTCAAGTGGTCCTCCCACCTGTGCCTCTCAAAGTGCTGAGATTACAGGCATGAGCCACTGTGCCTGGCCCCCTCTTTCTTATATATACACATTTTCACCAAAGCATTCATTGCTTTAAAGACGTATTTTAGTCTGTTAGACTTGTAATTGATACGAATTTAAAAATGTGTGCATATTTTTATTTCAATTAAAGCAGTATAAAAGTACAAACCTTGTCCATATCATGGTCTGTGTGTAATTATGTATATTCCAAATTAATGATGATGATTATTTAAAATTAGAGGACTTTATTCAAACAATTACTCATCAAATGTGTATCATTTCTAATTGGAAAAATGTGTACATATTCTTGATATAGTATGTGTTTCTATGCAAATGAAGTTTGATTTTAGGAAAAGGGATTTATAATATCTCTGAAATAGTATTTTTACTTTTAAATCTATAAAATTGTATTTTAAAATCTCTAATTTGCTTTTTAGGTTAAGGATTCCATATCTTATATTTTTTAAAAAGTGGTTTCAGAAGATGCCTATTGTTATATTTATTATCATTTTTATTAATGTCATAAAGAGAAATGTAGCAATTTCTTTGGGGTCACAGAAGAGGGGTTGGCTCAAATTAAAAGTAACTGTTTCAAACTTTTGGTAAAATCTTCACAGAAGACTTGGTGTCAGAGGAAGGTTTGAACGAATAGGATTGTGGTATTAAATATAAGATGACACCAGGCAAAAAGGAAAGAGAAGGAAGAGATTTTCTGGTTTACAATGCTTGGAGTTGAGGGCTGGGATGCTGATCTGACTCAAGACATGACCTGGGCCAACTTCTGAAGGATTTTGTAGACTGAGCTAATGAAGTTTGATTTTATCCTGCAGGCAACAGGTGGTATTTCTAGCTCCAGATTCTGTATATGTAGGAAGTGTAGAGGCCTTTTGTTGGTTCTGCCCAGCATTCAGTCACCACCTACAGATAATTTTGAGTTTCTTTTGTGAAATCAGCTTTATGTGATTCCAGAAGACACCTGTTTTCTTACCTAAACTTATCAGCTCGGACGTTAATACCTAAGCACTATTATCTAGTTGCGAGGTATTTTGAAAATCTTTCACATCACCTTCTTAAATGTCATATTTTTTTAAGTTATGCGTTACAAAGAAACTAGCATTTTATTTGTTTAGTAAACCTAAATTTAAATTTTGTTTTTACTGATTAAAGTAACTCATCTTTCTTTCTCTAATCTGATGCATATCATTTTCTTCCTTTCTTGTTCCCAGGGATCTCTCAATGCTATTTGCCTTCATTAGCTTGCTCATTATGCTTCCTACTTGGTGGATTGTGTCTTCCTGGCTGGTATGGGGAGTTATTCTATTTGTGTATCTGGTCATAAGAGCTTTGAGATTATGGAGGACAGCCAAACTACAAGTGACCCTAAAAAAATACAGTATTCATTTGGAAGATATGGCCACAAACAGCCGAGCTTTTACTAACCTTGTGAGAAAAGCTTTACGTCTCATTCAAGAAACCGAAGTGATTTCCAGAGGATTTACACTGTGAGTTCATTTTTTATTTTGTTGCTTAAATGATTATTTTCTACTCCGTAAAGGAGAATATTTATTACCTATTTTCATTTCTATGTTGCATTTATAGGAAAAAAGTGCTTTTCTCTTTAGTACTTACTAAAGTTAATTAATTGCTAAGTGAAGGAATAAATACATTATGTGCTAGATTTACTATCTAGTATGATTCTGTTATCTGCTTTGAGGAACTAAAGTACTTTGGAGATCCTGATTATTTCTGTATGTTACCATGTGATTATATGAGATAATATGTAGAGTGTGTCTAATACTGAACCTAACATGCAGTAGTTACCCAGTAAATGCTTGCTCCCATTACTCCGTTTCAAATGCCTTCTTTATGATAGACATATCTGCTATAAATGCATTTTGAAAACTCTTGATTTGTGCTAATAACTGTTCAGATAAATATTAGCAGATATTACAGCACCGAAATTCTCAGAGTATCATGCAAATAATGATGTTTTCCATTCTCACAAGAAATTAAATATTCACCAATCTAGCTGTAAGTATATTAAGCTATAGGATATACTGGCTGCTTAGTCTATTATTAGAGGGAAGGTTACATTTATTGAGCACCAAGTATATTCCATATACTGTGCTAGTCACTTTTGCATACAACTGAAGGCATAGAATGATAAATGGTAAATATTCATATCCATTCTATCTGATTCTAAACCCAGCTTGCAGTACACTGGACACCTGCCAAACACTACCAGATGACAGTTGTGTGCTAGTATATTTAATAATTTATATAACCTATATAACTTTTGCAATCTATAGGTGGGAGAAAGTAAGCATATGGTGAGGAACATTCATGGCTCTTAATTAGTTGTATCTAGAAAATCATGAAAAGAGGGAGTGAAGAACCTCTGGTAGCCATCGCATCCTTCACTCTGTTCTGCTCTAGAACACTACACAGTCTTCACTGTTTCTAGAAAATCATGGAACAGAGAAATGGAAGAATCCCAGTAGTTATCTTGTTCTTTACTTTCTTGTGTTCTACACACAATCCCAAGACATAAGACGGATTTTATAATTTCTCTTTCTTCTCAAAGTATAAAAGTCAGCCAGGCGTGATGTCTCACACCTGTAATCCCAGCACTTTGGGAGGTCGAGGCATGTGGATCACTTGAGCCCAGGAGTTCAAGACTACCCTAGGCAATCTAGCGAGACCCCATCTCTACGAATAATAAAAAATTAGCCAGATGTGGTGGCACACACCTGTAATCCCAGCTACTCGGGAGGCTGAGGCATGAGGATCACTTCAACCCCAGGAGGTTGAGGCTGTAGTGAGCCAAGATTATGCTACTGCATTCCAACTTGGGCAACAGAACTGGAGACAACAGATTCTGTCTAGGCTGGGCAACAGACTTGGTCTCAAAAAAAAAAAAAAGTATAAAAGTCCTTAGCATCTACTGATTTTTGTCCTTCCATTAGTTGAAGTCTGCTTCTTATTGACTTAAAGGATAGCACTTTTTTAAGTTGTTTGAGTGTCAAATTTTTAAAAAGTTTTTAAAAATCACGCTTAAAATACGTAATAGTTCCTTTGTATTTTATTGAGAGGAATGACTGGTTAAACAAAGTGGCTTTGTGTTCAACTAATGATTAGGCGTATATAGAGGATTCTGTGCCTTGTGTCATTTTCCAACTTTATCTGTCCCCATGGAATTTGCATGAAGAGGTAAAGTGGGCCAGTTAGACTTGATTTACCTCCAGATTATGACTTCTACCCGTTCAGATGACAGACGGGGAGAAGAAGTATTGGAAGAAATTGTGCTTCCTTTGTCTGGATAATGGGTTGAAAAATGAGGAATAATCTTGAATCATAATTTTTTAGACATTTTCAAAATTAGACAGTTTTTAAAACTGATTTAGTATAATGGAGCACAAGCAGTAGTGCCATATATTGAAATCATGAATGCTGTTTTGTTTCTGCCTCAAATTGTCCTCTCTCACAAATAATTGAAACCTTTTTTGCCTTCATTCCCTTATCTTAACATAAGCCTGTCAGTCATCATCCTCTGCTTTTTATAGATTTTTTAAAATTTGCTTTTTATAGATTTGTAATACCTGAATACATTTTAGTATGGCTTAACATTTTTAAAGTTTTGAATTAGGTGTCTTGTTTTATAGCTTTGTGGTTATAGAATAAGGAATTTACAAATGCCAGTATTTTGTTTTACTGTTGGGAAAGATTACTGGTTAGGTGAAAAAATTTATCTGATAACCAGGTATTTACTCATGCATACTATAAGTTATGAAATGTAATATATTGTATGTCATTGTTACAAATTAGGTACTTCCCATTAATCTTATGGGAAGTGCCATGAAATGTGCTTCCTCTTGAACAGCTTTGAGAGTAGCTGTGCTACTATGTAGTAACCCTTACTTTGCCTTTCTACTTGCATTCCCCTGTTGGCCACTGGTCCTGTTATCTTTCCACGTTCCCTACTTCATTTTGAGTAGGTAAGTGCCAGTGGCAGCAGGTGGGTAAGTAATTTTACCCTACTTTTATGAATGTACAGAAAGTATTTCTATATAGTATTTTTTCTGTACAAGTGACCATTTCTATATAGTATTTTTTCTGTACAAGTGACCAAAATATGATCAGTGAACATATGTAATGAACATATGTAAATGTATATTAATAATTTGAAAGTGTTTATAATTAAGGTCTTCATACTTCCTGTGGATATAGGTTTTGAAAACTGAATATAAAGTAGCTTTTCTCCAATATATTTTAGCAAGCATAGTGTCTATGTAAAAAAGATGTGAATTCTTAATAAATATTTCTACATTTCTGTTATATCTCAGCCAAAATCCATTGTTTCCCCACATCAGAGGAAGCCTTTACTCTTTGAGATTTTAATTTTTTGTCTTTTTTTTTTAAGTGGCTGTCTATATATATGCATATATATATTCACAGAAATGACTATTTTATGAGACCTGAGTTGACATACTTATAATCATTTTCTAGTAAAGATAATGATAGAGGAATTTGTTTTCTACATTTAATAGAATTGTGGATTTAGGAAACAAAAACTTTAGGACACCTGTACAGTTGTATCACATTTTACTTTTCAAGTTTGCTTGACAGGGTCAGTGCTGCTTGCCCATTTAATAAAGCTGGACAGCATCCAAGTCAGCATCTCATCGGTCTTCGGAAAGCTGTCTACCGAACTCTAAGAGCCAACTTCCAAGCAGCAAGGCTAGCTACCCTATATATGCTGAAAAAATATCCTTTTCTGTTTACATATGAAACTAAGCAATGTTTCTGGAGTCCTGAATACAGGTATTATAGTTGTATCTTCTGAATGTTTACTGTAAACTGAGATTGCCTATTTTGAAACTAATTTCCATCATTACTTCTATGTTAAAACTGGAAATGCATTCCTGGGGGAATGACAATAACAGACAGGAAGAAAGTTCTGTTCTTGTGTGGCTGCTTTTTAAACAAGGAAAAAACTTGAAGTCTCTTCCTTTACTCATCCAAAGAATGAAGTCAGAAGAGCCTGGCTTTGCTAGATCTGATATTTTAAACAAATTTCTCAACATGGCAGATTTGCATCATGGCATGTTAATAAACTGGCAACTGGAAATCCTTCCCTTTTCAAAAAAGCAGGTTCTAGGAGAAGAATGGCTAAGTTCAAACACTGACTGTATCAGTTACTCCCTAAGTGACCTTAAACAAGTTTCTTAACCTCTCTGTACCTTGCTTTAGTCATGTTTAAAATGGCAATAATAACATCATCTTCCTTATTGGATTTTTGTTAGGATCAAATGAGTTAATGCATGTAAAGTGATCAGACATCATCTAGCATGTAGTAAGCACCCAAAGACTGTATGACAATAAAGTCTGTCACTTAAATTTATTAAAATAGGAAATTAGTTCTAATAGCCAGGAAAAAAAGGCATATAAGAGCTTTATTTTAGTAAAGACATATAGATAAGTTAAATCCTGACTAAATAGAAGGCAAAAAGACAACTTTGCCACTTCAGGATGCTGGGTATTATAGCACTGATAAATATAATACTCAAAGTTTACAGGGTGCTTTATGTTCTATCATGTCCTTATACAAACCTTTATAGCTAGATTTTCTTGTCTCCATTTTATGAGAAAAGTAAAATAGAGGTTAAGTGACTTGTGCAGTATCATAGAACTACTAACAGATGAAGTTGTGTCTTGACTGTAGAACTTATGACTTGAAACCATTTTTCTCTTTCTCTCTCTGTATATATGGAAATTTCATATTTATCTCTAGATATATATCCATATAAGATATATATCTTATATGGACAAAACTGATATATCTAGATATATATATCTTATAGGTCAAAACTGATATATCTAGAGAGATATATATATAAACGAAATGGAGAAAAAGCATTTTAATTTTTATCAAGAACTTGTCCATTTTATTCCCCCATTGCCTAAATGCTGGCCTGCTATAGGTCAACCATTCTTCCAAGTGCTAGGAAAACTGAGTAAAAATATGTACTACCTACTTCTAAAGACTTTTGAATGTGATCAATAGAGAAATCAGTATTCATAATTTGATATAAGTGCCATGGGTGCCTTCCAACATAGCAGGGCAACATACTCAGTTTATGGGGTCAGAGAAGGCTTTCAGGGAGGTGACATCTAAGTTGAGCTTCCGAGAATGAATAGAAGTTGGTAATGAGGATAAGAGTCTGCATTCCAGGTAGAAGGAAGCAAAAACACATGGAAGGAAAGAAATAGAGAGATGACAGTGTGGCATGTGAACTGTTGGTCATTCAGTCAGTATTTTTTGAGCACAGACTGCTGCACAATATGCTCATCACTAGACGTACAGTGGTAAACATAATAGACATGATCCCTGCCTTATGGAGCTTGTAGTTCAGTGTGGGTTAGGGAGTGATAGGGTTAGCCTATCAAAGACTACACATTATATGAGTTCTTTGTGCCAGTCATTTTTCTAGAAACTGGGGACCTAGCAGTGAGTAAGATAGACAAGATCCTTATTCTCTGGAGCTTACCTTCTAGTAGATGAAATAATCAATAAAAGATGGACTTGGTGTGGTGGCTCATGCCAGTAACCCCAGCACTTTCGGAGGCTGAGGTAGGAGGATTGCTTGAGCCCAGGAATTTGAGACCAGCCTGAGCAATATAGTGAGACCCTGTCTCTAAAAAAAAAATTAAAAAAAAAAAATTGTTTTAAATTAGCTGCATGGTGGCACACACCTGCAGTCCCAGCTATTTGGGAGGCTGAGACAGCAGGATTCCTTGAGCCCAAAAGGTCAAGGCTACAGTGAACTGTGTTTGTGCCACTGCACTCCAGCCTGGGCAACAGAGTGAGAGCCTGTCTAAAATAAACTAAAATAAAATAATAAATGGACAGATGCGATTCTTCAGATAAAACAGTTATTATGAAGAAAAAGAAACAGGGGAATAGGGTAGAGAATGATTGGTGGAGTGCTGCTTTTTATTAGATGGTAAGAGAAGGCCTTTTTGAGGAGCTGGTATTTAAACTGAGGTTTGCATAATGGAAAGATCTGGAGGAAGAGTATGCCAGTTAGATAGACCAGTGAGTAGAAAGATCTTGTGGCAGGAATGAATTTAGCATGATTGGAGTATAGAAAGAAGACCATCATGAGTTGAGCACAGGAAGTTGGAGGTTAGAGTATGAAATGAAACTCAGAGGTAGCCAGGGGCCAGATCATATTCTCCATATAAGAAACCTTAATAAATTTAACTAAAAAAGAATCCACCAATCATTTTAAGAAGACCAGTAAGATATGTAAACCCGTGTTTGCCTGATCAAAGTAAAGAGCAGAAATATACAAGATTAGTAATGAGAACACAGTGGTAACCATGGATATAGAAGACATTAAAATAACTGGAAGAGGGGATGTTATATATGCAGCTCCACAGCAACAACTTTAAACATGTAGGGGAAAATGGTTCTTTTCATTTCTTTGGAGATAGTGTCTCACTCTGTCACCCAGACTAGAGTGTGGTGGCATGATCACGGCTCACTGTAGTCTCATTCTCATGCGATCCTCCTGCCTTAGCCTTCCGAGTAGCTGGGACCAAGGCACATGCTACCAAACCTGGTTAGTTTTTTTGCATTTTTTAGAGACAGGGTTTCACCATTTTGCCCAGGTTGGTCTCGAACACCTGGACTCAAGGGATCCCACATTGCTGGGATTATAGGCATGAGCCACTGAGCCCAGCCTCATTTCTTATCAAAATAAAAATCTGCAAAATTGACCTAGGAAGAATTTTAAAACTTGAAGAGATTGGACATGGGATAAAGAATACTCAATTTTAAAAAGAAAACACCTGGTTTATATGTAGACAATGGAAAATATGAAACTATTTTTAAAAAACAATGATAGAGTTCTTAGTGCTCTACTGTGGATCTCCAAGTTATATTAAGTGAAAAAAAATCAGAAAGTGCATGGATTGGTATTTATCGTATCCTTCAATTTGTGCATAAAAGGGACTGTGTGTTTCTACAGGGATAAATATGTATGTATGTGTTTGTGTACATGCATGCGTATATACCTACATATCTCCAGATACACATTTATATTTGAATTTGCTTTTATGTATGTATACATAAAAAAATCTTGGAACGTACTGGTAAAAGGAATTGCCTTTGCATTTGAATAGTGGAACTACATGGCTAAGGCATAGAGGTGGAAAGTAGTTTTTGCTGTATCCCTTAATACCTCATGAATTTTGAATCCTGTGAATATATTACCTATTCAAAAGCAAAGTGAATTTAAAATTTTTTAACTACCAGATCCAGATGGTTTTATAGTTTAAAAAAAATTTCAGACTATAGGAAAGGTTAGAAAGTTTCCCTATATCATTTTATTTATGAAAATATCTCAATACCAAAACATGTTGTATTACAAAGAATAAAAACCAGTTTTATTACAAAGAATGTAGGCCAGTCTCATAAATGGAGGTACAAAATGTTTAAATGGAATATTTATAAATTTAATATTGGATTGTATCAAAAGATTATTATAATATAACCAAATAGGAATATGCTAGAAATACAAAAATGGTTCACAATCAATTATTATATAGATGTAATTATTTAGAGAAACAATTAAAGGGAAAATCATTATTGAATTGATGTGTCTGTAAGGATGAGGGCAGAGGAAACCTAACAGTAATCTTTGTCAAACAAGCTAGATAGGACAGGCCTGGTGCCACTTATATCAGTCTGTGTATTTCAGGTAACGTTCAACTAATAATGTCCTGCAGTATGCAGACTGAGAGGAAAAGGGTATTTATTGTAGCATAGTGAGGACCCTGAACCATGACACAATAAAGTGCCCAATACAGCTTCAAATGGTAGGTGTCAAAAATAACGGGGCCAGGCGCAGTGACTCAGACCTGTAATCCCAGCACTTTGGGAGGCTGAGGCGGGGAGATCACTTGAGGCCAGGAGTTCGAGACCAGCCTGGACAACATGGCAAAACACCGTCCCTAGAAAAAAATGCAAAAATCAGCTGGGTGTGGTGGTGCATGCCTGTAATCCCAGCTACTTGAGAGGCTGAGGTAGGAGAATTGCTTGAACCTGAAAGGCTAAGGTGGCAGTGAGCCAAGCTGGTGCCACTGCACTCCAGTCTGGGTGACAAAGCAAGACTCCGTCTCAAAAAAATGAATAAATAACATCACTGTAACCCTTTTGAAGAGTTGAACTTTTAATTTTTTAGACATTAAAAATTGTATCCACAAGTATCCAAGATATCTGAGGTATTATGTTAATATATTAGATATTTAAAATTAATTTTTGTTTAAAAACTGCTGTAAATCTCCTCACCCAAAAGTTCAGAATAAAGATTAGTAAATGTGATGTAGGACAATTTCACTGTATCTTTTATGCTTTCATGAAAAGGCTTTGTTGATTGCCTTAACCTAATTTAACCTACCCCCTGAACTCTGAGAGTGACAATGTAACCAACTACATCTGTGTGGTGCCTTTTAAGGAGCTGGGCCTTGGACTTAGTGAAGAGCAGATTTCAGAAGAGGAAGCACATAACTTTACAGATGGCTTCAGCCTGCCTGCATTGAAGGTAATCCATCTGTGGAAGGGAAGGGCTGAAGAAAAGATAGATGCACTTGGATTGTGTCTATGCTTTCTGAATGTAAATGGTGCGCCTGTTCCCCTCATTGTTTGCTGCACGCCATCATCATAAATGCACTGGTGATGTTTGTAACACTGTCTTTAAGTGCTGAGAGCATAATCTTTATTATGGATTGGAAGAGGAGATCCTTAGATTTTGATCTCCAAATACTTAAAATGCTTAAAGAAATGCCTTAAATTAGAGTTTGGAGATAAGTGAATTTACTTTAATTGGAGGCCAATATGAGTGATTTTATAACTAGCCATTTGTTTCAACAAACATGGCTAATGTGTTATCTCCAAAATTCTTAAGATTTTTTTTCATACATTAAAAGCCACATGAAAGGGTACATTTGGCTGAACTGACAGTTCACAAAAAAAGAAACACAGGCTAGTCCCAGTGAGGTTGTATTTTACAACGAATTGATCACAACCAGTTACAGATTTCTTTGTTCCTTCCTCACTCCCGCTACTTCATTTGACTAGCCTAAAAAGAAAAAACAAGAAAAGAAGAAATACAAATGGCCAATAAATATGATACAAATTTTTCATTTTAGTAATGAAAGAACACAAATAAAAATAATAAGCTGACCATTTTGCCAAGGATATTGAAAGTTGGTAATTTCATTATCATTGAAAATTCAGGGAGACCTCACACAGACCAGTGGTGAAAGTATAAACTGGTTCACTTTAGCATTGAATACCAATCTTCATACAGGTATAAGAAGCAAAATTGCTTTATTCTAGTAATTTTAATTTGCCCTTACAGACTTATCTCAGAAAGTAACCAAAGATATACCCAAAGTATGTTTATGACATTACCATAGCAGCCAACATTGGAAACAAATTTTTTTGTTTTTGTTTTGAGTCAGAGTCTCACTGTCACCCAGGCTGGAGTACAGTATGACTTAGTCACAGCTCACTGCAGCCTCAACCTCCCCAGGCTCAGTGATCCTCTTACCTCAGCCTCCCGAGTAGCTGGAACTACAGGTACACACCACCACACCTAACTAATTTTTGTATTTTTTGTAGAGACAGGGATTCGCCATGTTGCCCAGGCTGGTCTCAAACTCCTGAGCTCAAACGATTTGCCCACATCAGCCTCCCAAAGTGCTAGGATAACAGGCATGAGTCACCTCACCCAACCTCCAGTAGTATTTTTAAGACATTGATCCAAATGTCTTAAGTTCCTATTAAGTGTTTAGTAAACTCTCTTTAGATGTTTCTTTGTTTTTAGTTTTTAAAATTTCCCTTGATACCATGAAAATTAGTGCAAGTATTGTTAGCATTTATCAGATCCATTTTGTTTTGAGACTGTATAGACTTCCGTATCTTTTACATTTTCTAAATCAATATAAATGTTCTAATTATCTTGTTTGTTTTCTTTCTCTCCTGCTTAAAATTTGCTTTGACCTATTCTTACTCCCATTTTAACCCATCTCAATAAATGGCACCTCAAAACTTAAACTAGAAACCTGGACACCATCTTTCTTGTCCCTGTTTTTGCCCACTCACATCCAGTCTGTTAGCAGATTCTTACTTATACCTTGAAAATGTATTTTAAACCCATCCACTTTTTTCTATATCCAACCCCGCAGCCCCACCATCCTAGTCCCAGCCACCATTTCTTACTTAGGCTGCTGCAGTACTTTCCTCAGTTCTCTAAAGTTATTTGTTTCAGAATGCAACTTGACATGTAAAGAGTCTTTTAAATGATTTATCCTTTGAATTTGTAATTCCTCTTCTACAAACTGCAGGAAATTATTCTAAACATAGTCAAGCTTTATATACCAAGTTGCTTATTCACTTTGTGTTTATAATAGTGCACAATGGAACACTGCCTGAAAGTTCAAAAATAGAGGAGTGGCTGCGTGAGTCATGCCAGAGCCACATGGTGAACCATTGTGTAGCAGCTACAGCTTGCTCGTGAAAATTCTGTAAAAACTTGGAGAAACATCTGTTGGCAGTGAAACAATCAGGATACATAAGTGTATATGCAATATGGCCACAAACCTGTTAAAAAAAAAAATGAGGAGAAAATACCAAGATATATATAGCTACTCTTTGGGGTGGTGGGACTATAGGTAATTTCACTCCCTTTCAAATTTAATATCCTAACCATGCTTTGTTCTTTAAGGAAAATAAATATTTTTTCAAAGGACAATTTAAGAGATTCTTAATGTGGAAAATTGAGCAGACCTAGGTTTATATTTTAGCCCTGACTGACTAGCCATTTGCCTTTGAATAAGTTATTCTTTAAACTTACGTCACCTGTGAAAAGGAGTTGCCATCCCTGCCTTATAAGGTGTTAGATTAAATGAGAAGACTTATTAAATACCTCAAACAGGGCTTGTCATATAACGGGTACCCCCAAATGGTAATAGCTGTTATTCTTTAAGAAGGACTTGGAGAAAGAATTATAGTATTTCATTTCCTTTTAAATTACTTTTTGTTAACTCATCAAGATGCCTTGGAGATTTTTTTCTTTATGCTGTTGATGTACTGTTTTTAAAAGTGTATTAAATCCTGAATCATATTCTAGCTTAAGTACAGGCAGCAAAGAGAAGTTGTGGACCCTGTGGAGTCAGATTTTCCAGGTTTCACTCTAGCTCCATTATTTGACTACTGTGTGGTCCCGAGCAAATCATTGTTTCTGTGTTTATTAAAATGGGATAATTGCAGTGCTTGCCTCCAAAGGATTAGATGTTTGTCAGTTCAGTGCCTGGTGTAGGGTAAGCAATTAATAAATGTTAGCTGATTTTTAAAATTCTATCTGATATGACCTGCTCTGAAATGTGAGACTTGTTCTCTGTTGCTGTATCCCCATCTTGCCTTCCAACAATGATTATAGCTGGATTCTTTTTGCTCACTCAGTGTTTTACAAATCAAAGTATAATAGTATTTTTATATTTCTTTTATTTTTACCTATAACTAACCTGTAACCAAACTCAATAATTGTGTTACAGTTACCGCATTTATCAGGCTCTGCAAGGAGCCTTATCTTGAGGAGCTCTATAGACTTTGCAAACTGTTGAAAACCCCTGTAATGTTCAAAAACTGTGTGTTGTCCCCTTCTGTAGTTGCCACTGTATCGTTATTCAGATAAGAAATTTAAAAATAGATTTTGTAAGTTAAATTTTTTAAAGTGCATTGCCCCCTCTAAAGAAAATACATTTTGGATTTATTTTTTATTGTTAACATATCTTCCCTCAGGAAAGTTTAGTGATAGCAAGTATTGCACCTTTGGAAAGAAAAGCAACCTCTGAATTGTAGCCTGAGGAGACATAAATGAAATACAGGTTAAATATTTCTTATCCAAAATGCTTGAGACTAGAAGTGTTTTGGATTTTGGATTTTTTCAGATTTTGGAATATTTGCATTACACATTGAGGTTGAGCATCCCTAATCCGAAAATTTGAAATTTGAAATGTTTCCAGTGAGCATTTCCTTTAACTGCCATGTTGGTGTTCAAAAAGTTTCAAATTTTGGAGCATTTGGGATTTCATTTCAAATTTTTGGATTAGGGATACTCAATCAGTCCCTAGAACGGAGTCCTTATCCCTCTCTTTTCCTTTAAGTTTTTAACCAGTTTTTAAAATTTATAAAGTCATATGTTTCCTGCTCTAGAAAAATAAATGCACACATTGTGAAATGCTTTAAATCAAATTTTCTGTTTACCTATTGGCTATGGTTATCTCCTTATCCAAGGAAAAAAGAAATACATATTTCTGAGTTCTGGTTTAAAAGGATAATGTGAGAGTGGTTGGATAATAAATTAGTCTTTAGAGACAAGGTCTTGCTCAGCCATGCAGTTGGTGCGCAGTGGTGCAGTCGTGGCTCACTGTAACCCTGAACTCCTGGGCTCAAGCTATCCTCCCACCTTAGCCTCCCAAGTAACTGGGACATCAGTTACATGCCACCATGCCTGGCTAATTTTTAAGAAAATATTTTGTAGAGACAGGGGTCTCACTGTGTTTCCCAGGCTGGTCTCCCAACTACTGGCCTCAAGCAGTCCTCCCACCTTAGCCTCCCAAAGTGCTGGGATTACAGGTGGGAGCCACTGCTCCTGGCCTTTAGTCTTTTTAAAAGCCGCAGTAAGCTGTCCCAACTTGATTCTTGCAGTTATCTTGACCCAGCATGCTGGAATCATCCTTGTTAGCTCTTATTCTCTCAGTACCAATCAGTCAAGAGACTGTGTTGGTTCTACTTTCACAATGGATGCAGAGTCCATCTGCTGCTCACCTTCCACCGCTGACCACTGTGGTCTCATTAATGCTAACCTGGAGTATTGCAGTAACTTCCTTACTGGTTTCTCTGCTTCTACTCTCATTTTCCTGTAATCTCTCAACTCAGCAGCCAGTATGGGCCCGTTAATGCATAAATCAGATTATGTCATGCTTCTGCTCAGAACCCTTCAGTGGCTCCCCATTGTTTACCTGGCCCCAGCCATACTGAACTTCTTGTTCCATGATCTGCCCTGTGTGCTCCCACAACAGTACTTTGCACTTGACTTCCTGCTCCCTAGAACTCTCTTCCTTGATGATGATCTCATGGCTCACTTCCTTTAGGTGACACTTTTAGAGACCTCCCCAGCCACCCCTTTCTCCTCTCTCCTTCCTGCTTTCTGTCTGTCTCCGCCTCTTTCATATGTGTACACACACATACACACACACACACACACACACTATTCCCCTTCTTTGCTGTATTTTTCCCATCAACCAAGAAACACTATTTTTTTCTTCCTGGACAATCATAGCAAAAGGGAAATAGTATCTTTTACTTGTAGATTATTATCTGTGCCCCTCTACTTGTAGCTCCATCGGAGTAGAGACTCTTCATTTTTGCTCTCTGCTGTTTATGTGCACCTAGAACAGTGCCTGGCACCTTGTGGGTGCTCACGAAATCATTTCTGAATGAACAAGTAAAATAATAAAAATCATTGTAATCATAAAATTTAATAGTTGAATAAGAAGACTTGCAAGTAAACTTGTAAGTCAAGAATCCCTAGATATCGCATCTGTAGCAACTAGGAAATCTGGCCTTGCTCACTTTAAAAAAATAAAATAAAACAAGTTAATGGTAAAGTAGATTTACGTGAAATTACCTTAATTCATTATTGGCATAATTTTAAAATTCATTTAATAAAACCATCTAAATAATGTCTATTTTCATGGTTGTGAATAATTGGAATCTAAATTACCAAAAGTGGTTTCATCCTCTTTTTATTGCCTGCTACCTCTTGTTTCATACTACATTGTTTCCTCATGCATTTGTTTCGGAGATATTGTCCTCATCTTGAATACGACTGTATCTGGAGAAATGTTTTGCTGCAAGGATTCAGGATGTATCTCAGGAATGGGCCTATGAACATATTCAGACTGCTTTTAGAAAAAAAAGAAGAAGAAGAATGGGATTTATCCTGGCAACATACTGAGACCCCATCTCTAAAACTTAAATATTAGCTGAGTATGGTGGGACATGCCTGTGTTTCTAGCTACTCAGGAGGCTGAGGCAGGAGGATCACTTGAGCCCAGGAGTTAGAGATTTCTGTAAGCTATGATCATGCCATTGGGCACTCTAGCCTGGGCAACAGAGCAAGACTCTATGGCAAAAATTAATTAATTAATTAATTAAAATAATAGGTTTTGCAATTTCTCATGTCAGACATTCCTGGAGTATTTAATGGATTTTTTTTTTTTGGATGGAGTCTTGCTGTGTCACCCAGGCTGGAGTGCAGTGGCACCATCTTAGCTCACTGTAACGTCTGCCTCCCAAGTTCAAATGATTTTCCTGCCTCAACCTCCCAAGTAGCTGAGATTGCAAACACACACCACCACCACTATGTCTGGCTGAATTTTATATTTTTAGTAGAGACGAGGTTTCACCATGTTGGCCAGGCTGGTCTCAAACTCCTGACCTCAAGTGATCTCCCCGCCTCCACCTCCGAAAGTGCTGAGATTACTGACGTGAGCCACTGCGCCTAGCCCTGGACTGATTTTTATGTTAATTTCTTAGTTAATTCATAGGGCAAGGTAATAGTCTTATTTTGAAACCCAAGCTTTTGATCCATGTGACTCATTTCTTTGGAGAAATATATATATATCCACTAGTCCTACTGTCTTCTTTTCTGTGTGAAAATTTTTTTAAAATAATGAGTGAAGATTCACTTTTACTAAAGTATCTCATTCCATCAACACTTCCCATCTAGGACAGAACTGTAGTAAATTATATGTTGATGTTACCTGCTGTATTGGAATAACAGGTTCCCACATACATAATTTGAAATCATATTCTTGGCTCATCTTAAGGTAGTTTAAGCTCAGTTATATTTATTATTTAGGATAAAGTGCAAAATTTAAACCAGAAGTTAAGATAAACAAATTTATAGTTTGCTTTGAACACTGACCAATATTTGTTATTGATCTAGTCCTTTTTTCTTTTTTCTTTAGGTTTTGTTCCAACTCTGGGTGGCACAGAGTTCAGAGTTCTTCAGACGGTTAGCCCTATTACTTTCTACAGCAAGTTCACCTCCTGGGCCCTTACTTACTCCAGCACTTCTGCCTCATCGTATCTTATCTGATGTGACTCAAGGTCTACCTCACGCTCATTCTGCCTGTTTGGAAGAGCTTAAGCGCAGCTATGAGTTCTATCGGTACTTTGAAACTCAGCACCAGTCAGTACCACAGTGTTTATCCAAAACTCAACAAAAGTCAAGAGAACTGAATAATGTTCACACAGCAGTACGTAGCTTGCAGCTCCATCTGAAAGCATTACTGAATGAGTAAGTTTAGAAATTATACCAAGAAAGGTCTCGGTGATTAGCAAGCTTCATTCGTGTACCATTGTGGTTGTTGGCTTGTGTCCTAGCTAGAAAAAAGAAGCAAAGTTGAGACATGAGCATGAAGGGTGATTTATAGCTACAAATATAGCAAAAATAATAATAATAATAATTTGTAAGTACTATAACTTGAGGGAGTTACAGTTTTTACTTTTCCTTAGTTCAGCAGAAAACTTGGAAAGGTAGGTAAAAGCGGGTGTTGTTCATTCTCTTTGAGAGCTGAAATGGAGATGGTTATAAAGAATGAGTTTCTTTTAACTCTCTTAAGGTAGTGCTCTTCAACTGGAACCTGCAGTCCAATAGAAATATCTACCAAGATTGGAACAGTGTGTTACAAGAGGCATTGTTATATGTAGTAGAAGAGTAACATATTGCTGTTTTACTAAATAAATTACAGCAGATGTAGAAATTTTTTTGTATCACAGGACAAGCTTTGTGGTACCAGTTGAAAAGCAAAATGTAGAGTCTAGAGTTTATATTTGTTTATTTCCTGCCTTGCATGAAATTGTTGGTTCTCTACCTTAATTTCTAAATTTTTATGTCCCACTTCGGTATACCTTCAGCTGAAAATACTATTTTCACATATTTCTACGAAGTTTTCAAGTTTAAAAATTGAATCAAGGCATTTAATTGAATATAGTCATTTCCAGTGAAATTTTTCTGTAACACTTAAATATTCATCATGTAGGACTGGATCAAATGAATGGTTGAGTTCATGTTGTGTTGGTAATCAAGAAGGTCCTAGGAATTTAAAGAGCTGACAAGATTGTAGTTGGTGTACTTGATCCTGGGATACGAGGCAAGAAGTGGAATGGGGAAGGCAGCATTTAATTATGTAAATAAAAATGGGTCAAAAGGACTGACATATCAGCAAAATCAAAAGGCTAGTTTCACTGGAATTAGGGAGGATAAGAGATACAAGGATAGGAACTTAAAGTCAGAAGGACATTTTGAGAAGCTAAGTTTTTACCCATCAGTTCAAGGCCTGAGATGGGCTTGATATAAGGCTGATATAAAGATTATGGCATGGCCGGGCGTGGTGGTTCAAGCCTGTAATCCCAGCACTTTGGGAAGCCGAGATGGGCAGATCACAAGGTCAGGAGATCGAGACCATCCTGGCTAACACGGTGAAACCCCGTCTCTACTAAAAAAAATACAAAAAACTAGCCGGGCGAGGTGGCGGGTGCCTGTAGTCCCAGCTACTCGGGAGGCTGAGGCAGGAGAATGGCGTAAACCCAGGAGGCGGAGCTTGCAGTGAGCTGAGATCCGGCCACTGCACTCCAGCCTGGGCCACAGAGCGAGACTCCGTCTCAAAAAAAAAAAAAAAAAAAAAAAGATTATGGCATAAGAAAAATGAAGACACTATGAACTCAGGGTATTCCAGTAGTCTATATCTGCTATTCTAAGAAAGCAGGTAAATGCTAACCAGTTTCTTAGCCCTGCCTCCTACAGGGAACTGGGCAATAAGGCCGTCTCCACTTGACTGGGTGGCAAAGGTTGAATTGTCCTCAAAGGAAAATAAGATTTCAGTGGACAGGTTGTAGGCAAAGCCAGAGTCTCTGAAGAAGTAAGTTTTGGCAATAGAATCAGAAATATACGGCACATATTAGAATGCATTAGAGTGAGGGAAGATGGCTCAGGGAAGAAAGCGTGCTACACAAGGTAGATATGAACACAAAAAAGAGGAGCTTTTACCATGGGTAGGAATTGTGGGTTATGCATAGGAAGTTTTTGTCCTGTTTTAAAGTGGAATACTCCATATATGCTAATGTCTCTCCTTTCTAAGTATTTTCACTAGAAAATACACCAGTCACAAACCATCATATCCAATTTGCTCTGTAGTGCTGCTACATACAACTTTTTAAATTGTTAACTAAATAATTGTTTCGTGTTTCATATTTTAGAATGCTCTTTTTGTGTTTCACACCTCTCCCCCTTGTCTCCTTTGCTGTTCCCACTCTCAGGGCCTCGGTGTGGGACCATATTGTCCCTTCCCTACACTAAGGCGTTAATCTCTAACTGTTCTCCCCACCTTCAGGGTGTGTATGGCCAGATTAATGTTGCTGAGGCTTATATTTGCCTTGTCACTTCACTGAAAATCTTGACTTGTTTCGGAGTCATAGCAGCTCAGACTAAAGTCTTTACAAAACATACTATAGAAGTGTTTGTCATAACTTGACTACACTCTGTTTCTATCTTTATTTCTCATTCCTTTCCTTCAGTCCAGCCAAACTGTATAAATGCCTTTTCCCAGGGTCCTTTTATAGGTTAGTGCAAAAGTAATTGCAGTTTTTGCCATTAAAAGTGATGGCAGGCCAGGCGAGGTGGCTCATGCCTGTAATCCCAGCACTTTGGGAGGCTGAGGTGGGCGAATCACGAGGTCAGGAGATTGATACCGTCCTGGCTAACATGGTGAAACCCCGTCTCTACTAAAAATACAGAAAAATTAGCTGGGCGTGGTGGCGGGCACCTGTAGTCCCAGCTACTTGGGAGGCTGAAGCAGGAGAATGGTGTGAACCCGAGAAGCGGAGCTTGCAGTGAGCCAAGATTGTGCCACTGCACTCCAGCCTGGGCGACAGAGCGAGACTCTGTCTCAAAAAAAAAAAAAAAATAACGGCAAAAACCTCAATTACTTTTGCACCAATCTAATAGAACAAGCTTCTGGCCAGGCACAATGGCTAATGCCTATAATCCTCATATTTTGGGAGGCCAAGTAGAGCAGATTGCTGGAGCCCAGTAGCTGAGATGAGCAACATGGTGAACCCTTATCTCTACAAAAAAAAAATACAAAAATTAGCCAGTCGTGGTGGTACATACCTGTAGTCCCAGCTACTTGGGAGGCTAAGGTGGGAGGATCACCTGACCCCTGGAGGTTGAGGTTGCAGTGAGCCGAAATCACACTACTGCACTAGCCTGGGTGATAGAGTGAGACCCTGTCTCAAAAAAAAATAAAAAATAAAAAGAACAACGTTCCTCACCTTTTGTATATGGGCCCAAATTTTATCCACCCCTTCAATGCTACCTCAAAAATACCTCGTCCTTAGTTGTTCCCCATCTATCCTTACAGTTGGTTGTAATTTTCCCTTCTTCTGATTTCTCATCACACTATCTGTCTCTCTATGGTATTATCCTTTTGTGCCTGTATTCAGCCCAGTTTTACATCTTACTAGCTTTCTGACTCTAGGCAAGTTTCCCCAACTCTCTGGGCCTAATTCCTTATTATCTGTAAAATGGAAATAAAATAATAGTTCTAATTATTTATGATATTGTAGTCTTTTTCTTTTCTGATAAAGGAAGCAACTACAGAAAGCTTTTATTTATTCAAAGTAACCAGTGCTATTGATACAAAAAAGAAAAACCCAACACTACTTTCAAAATGAGCATATCAAACTTGATTTTCATTAGAATGTAGTTATTTTGTCACACTAGTAAATAAAAAACCAAGATGCTCCCCTCCGCCCTTTTTTTTTTTTTTTTTTTTTGAGACAGAGCCTGGTATTCTGTTGCCCAGGCTGGAATGTAGTGGCTTGATCTCGGCTCACTTCAACCTCTGCCTCCCAGGTTCAAGCGATTCTCCTGCCTCGGCCTCCTGAGTAGCTGGGATTACAGGCACCTGCCACCACGCCCAGCTAATTTTTGTATTTTTGTAGAGACGGGGTTTCACCATGTTGGCCAGGCTGGTCTCGAACTCCCGACCTCAGGTGATCCACCAGCCTTGGCCTCCCAAAGTGCTGGGATTACAGATGTGAGCCACCATGCCCAACCGCAAATTTTATATCTATGTGTGTGTGCGTGTGTGTGTGTGTGTGTGTATACATGTGTCTATATACACACACACATACAATGTGAACAATAATTGGGCTTTATCTTATGGACAAGAATGCCAAGTTAATCTTTCTTTGTGAAAAGCAGTTATAATTTGAGGACACTTCATATTTGCCTTTTGTGCTAGCACCAAGTCTGCCTCATCTGAATCCTTCCATTTCATGAGCAACATCAATTCTTCACTGCCGTCTGTGGCACCAATTATTCTTTCAGTATCAAGACCTCTGGCAAATCCTCTTGGTTTGTCAACAGCATCTCTTTTCTTCTTTGATTTGCTTCATCAGATTCACGGTCAGATAAAGATTTTCTTTTTGTACCATCTTTTTCTTCACAGCTTTTTGAGAATTAAGAAATGCTTCAGTTAACTCTGGACAATCTAAATTTTCTTCAGGTTCCCAAGTATTGTCAGCATCTGTAAATTCCTTCAGGAAATATTCCACTTTCCCATTCCCTACATGTCGATCTAGTACATTTTCCACCACAAATTCATCAGGCTCTGCTTCTTCAACTTTTTAACTTTTCCATTCTGTTTCTTTCCCATTTTTTGCAACGTGGTTTTGTTGGAGGCCATTTGTTACTGCAGACCTGAAGAGTTATTATTCACTGCCTCCAAGCTGCTCCGGGTCGTGGGTCTGTGGTGTCTCTAGTCTTGTGTGTCACCAGCTCGAGCCACATCCGAGTGGGGGGGCAGCCAGGGAGCTGTTGTTGGCAGGGGAAGTAAGGGTAGGGAGGAGTGTGGGGGGTGGATGTTATATTTTACTTACATATATGTGTAATATCATTTGTTATTTCTTATAAATAGGAGATGAGCTTATTTTTTTCTTTTTAGCCCATAAAATGCCTAGTATGTATGCAAGAAATATTTGTTGAATAAATATTTAATACTCTTTATAAGCTTTTTAAAAAATTATGGCAAAGTATATATAACAAAATTTATCATTTAATCATTTTTAAATGTACAGTTCAGTGGCATTAAGTGTATACACATTGTTGTGCAGCCATATCACTGTCCAACTCCAGAACTTTTTTCATCTTATTATAAGCCTTTTTTCTTTCTTTTTTTTTTTTTTTAAATTGAGGTGGGGTTTCACTCCATCCTCCAGGCTGAAGTGCAGTAGCACTATCGAGGCTCACTGCAACCTCTACCTCCCAGGCTCAAGCAGTCCTCCCACCTCATCCTTAGGCACATGCTTCCACACCCGGCTAATTTTTTGTATTTTTGGTGAAAAGGGGGTTTCACTGTTGCCCAAGCTGGTTTTGAACTCCTGAGCTCAAGCCATTCACCCGCCTTGGCCTCCCAAAGTGCTGGGATTTAAGCTTATTTTAAAATAAGCCTTGTAAATTATAAATTTTTCATTTCATATTATAGAAATCTGTTTCTGTTTTTCTTTATGACTCAGGGTAATAATTCTTGAAGATGAACTTGAAAAGCTTGTTTGTACTAAAGAAACACAAGAACTAGTGTCAGAGGCTTATCCCATCCTAGAACAGAAATTAAAGTTGATTCAGCCCCACGTTCAAGCAAGCAACAATTGCTGGGAAGAGGCCATTTCTCAGGTCGACAAACTGCTACGAAGAAATACGGATAAAAAAGGTACCTGTGAGAGATTTCTTTGCCATATGCTTAACAGACATGCTTATTCCACTCTGGTAGGATTTTATTAGGTGGACTTCTTGTCTTCATGATGAAACTAGCTTCAAAATTTCTTAGTTTACTTTTTTTTAATGTTGAATTTATATGTACAAAGTGACACTGAATACAATTCTTGACTCTCATTTTGTAAATTAAAAATGAATATGATTTGAAAGTTCAGTGAATCATATCTCTTTTTTAAAAAAACTGAAATGAGAGAATAAATTTTGATAGTATTTTTCTATTATTAGAACTTCCAGAAACTCTTTTTCAGTTAGGATAATAAAAGAATGAGTTTGATAGTCTGGGGCTAGGAACTTGAGTTTTTCTTTTAAGATAAAATACTTTCTTCAGTCATTCAAAAATAATATACAAATGATATAATTGGTGGCACTGCATATTTAGTACTAAGATCTAAACACATTGTGTCATTATTTAATAATATATCAGATGCTTTGTGCTACTAAGTTAAAAAAAAAAATAGTCTTGAGATTTTTCCACTAAGCTGCTTTTATGTGACTCCGATTTTATGCTTGTTTTTACCTCACTGATTTCATTTTTCAATGTTTGGCACATCAATTTTTGAAAACTGTGCTGCAAACCAGTACCATATTTATCGCTTGGATCTTTATTATTAGGCTACTCAGACTTAGGCATAGAATTTGCATTGCTGCTAAAGATAATGAATGCTTTACCATCCTGTTATTTTTGTGTTTACAGCTAAATTTGTAATAATTTATTTAATGTCTTAAACAAGCTTGAACAAATCCTTAGATAGTAAAAGTATTCACTTTCTCCAAAGGAAATATTAACATGCTAATTACTGATTTATTACCCGAAGGTTTTCTTAATATCTCAGATGTAAACTGTGAATAATTTTTTCTCCAAAGCATAAATCTACCAAGAAACTCTGATATATGCAAATACTTATGCATATTAAACTTTCTGATATGACATCTAGAGCTTCTGTGTACATTTTCGACAAACAGAAACACTCAGAAGACCTTTGGTTGTTAAAAGATGCATCCTGGCCAGGCATGGTGACAGGAGTGGCTGAGTGCCCAGTTACTCAGGAGGCTGAGGCAGGAGGATTGCTTAAGCCCAAGAGTTTGAGGCTGCAGTGAGCTATGATCACGCCACTGCTGTACTCCAGCCTGGGCAACAGAGCAAGACACTGTTAAAAAAAAAAAAAAGGCGGGGCATGATGGCTCACGCCTGTAATCCCAGCACTTTGGGAGGCCGAGGCAGGTGGATCGTGAGGTCAGGAGATCAAGACCATCCTGGCTAACACAGTGAAACCCTGTGTCTACTAAAAATACAAAAAATTAGCTGGGCATGGTGGCGGGCACCTGTAGTCCCAGCTACTCGGGAGGCTGAGGCAGGAGAATGGCGTGCACCCAGGAGGCGGAGTTGCAGTGAGCCAAGATCGCACCACTGCACTCCAGCCTGGGCGACAGAGCGAGACTCCGTCTCAAAAAAAAAAAAAAAAGAAAGATGCATCCCATTCACCCCTCCTTTAGCACACTCTGAGATGTTGAATCTTAGTCTAACACTTACCTGTTATTGTTAACCATTACTGTGAAAACTTTCTTCACCTCATTGGGTAGATAATTAAGCCATTTTCTAATTATTTTCTGTATGTGTGGCTTTTGTTCATAGATAATAATGATATGGATTAAGACACAAATAGTTCGCAAACTTTTCTCACTAAAACATTCACAGTGGCCATGACTACACAGGTTTAAATTTTTAAAATGTTCATTTGAATATTTTAAGAAGCAGGTACTTTAGCCATATCTTTTTTAAAAAAGGTCTTATTTTGAAATCATTTCAAACGTACAGAAAAGTTGCAATAGTTGAAAGTCTCCTTCATCAATATTCCCTAGTTGTTGACATTCTGCCACAATTGCCTTATCTTTCTATGTATCTGTATATGTGTGTCATTCTTTTGATGGTGGTGTTACTCTGAACCATTTGAGAGTAAGTTGTAGACTTGAAACCCCATTACCTCTAAAATATTTTTGTAAAGCAGGAACATTCTTCTATGTACCCACAGTATACCATCAAAATCAGAAAATGAACACCAACCATTTTATCCACAGAACTCATTCAGATTTCCCTGATTGTCCCAATATTTTTTATATGTCTAGACCTAGATTGTGTATGGTGTTCAGTTGTCATGCTCTTTATTCTCCTTTTCCTTAAAGTCTTTCATGATAATTATTTTGTAAAGAAATACTCTGAGGTTTTATAAATATGGTTTCTTCATCAAAATTTTAACCACTATGAATGCATATACCATATGACCCAGTAGTATCATTCCTACATATTTAACCAAGAAATGTAAAAACTTAGTGTTCATACAAAAACCTATACATAAATATTTTGTTCATAAACTGAAAACTAGAAGCAGCTAGGCTTTGGGATGTGACTAAGCTGTTACATCCATCCATACAGTGAAATACTACTCAGCAACAAAAAAAAGTGAACTACCAATGCATACAATACGATAAATGAATCTCTGATACATTATGCCAAGTGAAAGACGTCACATTCAAACCACTACATACAATGTTATTCCACTTATGAGGCACTCTTAGTTGGCGAAGGAACAGAAAACAGATCAGTAGTTGCAAGGAACTGGAGATGGAGGGAGGAATGGCTTGTAAAACCTTTTAATGGAGAATGGCTTTGGCAGCACATGTATTAAAATTAGAAATGATACAGAGAAAATTAACATGTCCTTTGTGTAAGGACAATGTACAAATTCATGAATCATTCCATATTTTATATAGAATTTATATAAAGATGTATGTACACACTCATGCATATATACACATATATATCTACATATATATTGTGGTAAGCGCAGGAAATCATTGAGAATAGGTTATAACTTTGGCATTACTCGAGGATTGCCATAGAAAAGAATCTCCAATTAATAACAGTTTCCCATTGTTAAAAATATCACAGGCTAGGTGCAGTGGCTCATGCCTATAATCTCAGCACTTTGGGAGGCCAAGGAGGGAGGATCACTTGAACCCAGTAGTTTGAGACCAGCCTGGGCAACATGGCAAAACCCCATCTCTACAAAAAAAAAAGTTACTCGGGAGGCTGAGGTGGAATGATTGATTGAGCCCAGGAGGTCGAGGCTGCAGTGAGCGATGATTGCGCAACTGAGCTCCACCTTTGGTGATACAGTGAGACCCTGTCTCAAAAATATATGTGTATGCACATGTGTATGTATGTGTGTCACATCGTTTTAAAACACTTCACATTTATTACCTCTAGGGCCTTGTTACTCAGAGTGATCCCCAGACTAGCATATAAGCATCACATGAGAGCTTGTTACAAATGCACCCCTGACTTTAAATCTGCCTGTATTTTAATAAGATCTGGTCATTTGTATCCACATTAAAGTCTGAGAAATTTGAGAAGTATTGCTCTGAGATAAGGGTCTGCAACTTTTTTCTCTAAAGATTTTCTGCCTTGCAGGCCATATGGTGTGTCTGTTACAGCTACTTTACTCTGCTGTTGTAGTGTGAAAGCACCCATAGACTATACTTAAATGAGTGTGGCTGTGTTCTAGGAAAAATTTATTTACAAGAACAGGCAGTGGGACAGATTTGGCAAGCCCCTGCTTTCAGACAGTAGAATTGAGGGATAAGGTCATCAGGGAGCTTTTTTCACTTTATAACCTTCTGTGCTGTTTGTAAAAGCTATTACTGCAAGCATGTAATTAAGAATCTGGTGGGTTTTAAAAAATTTTTTAGGCTTTTTGTGTGTGTTTGTTTGTTTGTTTTTTGAGAAAGAGTCTCACTGTGTCGTGCAGGCTGGAGTGTGGAGTGCATTGGCGCAATTTCAGCTCACTGCAAGCTCTACCTCCCAGGTTCAAATGATCATGTTGCCTCAGCCTCTCGAATAGCTGGAATTACAGCCGTGTACCACCATGCCCAGCTAGTTTTTGTGTTTTTTGGTAGAGATGGGTTTTCGCCATGTTGGCCAGGCTGGGCTCCAACTCCTAACCTCAAGTGATCAGCCCGTATCGGCCTCCCAAAGTGCTGGGATTACAGGCTTGGGGAGCCACCACACCCGTCCTCTTGCTAGATTTTTGTTAAATGAATTGCATGCTGGAGCTAGCTCTCCAAAGGTTGTTAAATATTCAGAAATTTGTGAGTCAGTTTAACATCATTGGTAGCTTAGAATTGGTCACAGTGGGTGCATTTACACCATGGGAACTGGAAATCAGGAAGTGCTGCAAATTGGGTGTTTTGTTTTGTTTGAGAGCTGGATTACCAGCACACTGTTTAATGTACTTGTTTGTTGCTGTTAATAGTCTTACGGATTTTTTTTTTTTCTTTTCATTCAAAGAGCTCAATCCGTGGTGTCAGCATTGACATAATGAAATCTGTGTTCTGCTAATTAGGCAATAATAGCAGTTTTTGAGCATGTAATCTGTAGCAGGCATTGTTTTAAGCACTTTTCATGTATTTTTTAATCTTACAAGATAGTACTATTATTTTCACCACTGTTCTACAGATAACTGTAATTATTTATTTATTTATTTATTTATTTATTTATTTTGAGGGGACAGAGTCTCGTTCTGTCGCCCAGGCTGGAGTGCAGTGGCATGATCTCGCCTCATTGCAACCTCCGCCTCCCAGATTCAAGCAATTCTTCTGCCTCAGCCTCCCGAATACCTGGGACTACAGGCGCATGCCACCATACCCAGCTAATTTTTGTATTTTTATTAAAGACGGGGTTTCACCATATTAGCCAGGCTGGTCTCGAACTCCTGACCTCATGATCCACCCACCTTGGCCTCCCAAAGTGCTGGGATTGCAGGCGTGAGCCACTGCATCTGGCCTTTTCTTTTTCTTTTTTTTTTTTTTTTTTGAGACGAGTCTCGCTCTGTTGCTCAGGCTGGAGTGTAATGGCACAGTCTCAGCTCACTGCAACCTCTGCCTCCTGGGTTCAAGCAATTCTCCTGCCTCAGCCTCCTGAGTAGCTGGGATTACAGGTACATACCACCATGCCCGGCTAATTTTTCTATTTTTAGTAGAGACGGGATTTCACCATGTTGGTCAGGCTGGTCTTGAACTCCTGACCTGGTGATCTTCCTGCCTTGGCCTCACAAAGTACTAGGATTACAGGCGTGAGCCACTGTGCCTGGCCAGTTAACTGTAATTTAAACTAGAAAGCAGCAAGAGCTGGGATTTAACCCAGGTGTGACTAACTCTATAGCTCTTAGCCACTATGCTATTCTGTCTCTCATTAGTGCTTCCTATTAATTTATTAATCATTCTGCCATCTTTCCTACAAACTAACCAGTTTTTTTTGTAACATTTCCAAAATACTTCTTTTTTAAAACCATTTAACTATTGTTACTTTTGAAAAGTAAAAATCAAGAAGTTTAAACTATACTTCTTTTTTTATAAGTAGAAAGGCAATGATGAATGGTAGCCAGCCGGATATGAGACTAAGTAACCCTGTCAGTAAATACCAAACACAAATTTTAAGAATTAATCAAAGTTAAACTCACTTGGGTGTTCTTGTAAAGATATTTACTTGTGAACTCATTTCCAATTCCAACTTCTGAGAGTTAAAATAGCCTCAGGGTAAGATTGAAGTTTGTATTTTGTGAAGAAGAGTGATGGTCTGTCTTAAGACTGTTCCTATGCTGTGAATGATAATATTTTGTTCAACAAGTATTTATAGAGTACCTGGTGTGTACCAGATACTGTGGTGAGGTGAAGAGAGAAGGGCAGGTCCTCTTCTCCCAGAGTTTAAAGACTTAAAGTTAAGTTGTAAATCTACTAATTTATTGTTTTTCATTTCAATATCTTTATTTTTTTATAAATAAAAAATTATTAGAACAAGTTGGACTATGAAATTGACAAAGTATTAGTACCAAGGATTTTTTGGCGGGGAGACAGGATCTAGCTCTGTTGCCCAGGCTGGAGTGCAGTGGCGTGATCACTGCTCACTGTAGCCTTGATCTCCCCAGCTCAAGCGATCCTCCCACCTCAGCCTCCCAAGTAGCTGGGACTACAGGTGTGCACCACCATGCCCAGCTGATTTCTTTTTTAGTTTTTGTAGCTACAGGGTCTTACTTTGTTTCCAGGCTGGTCTTGAACTCCTGGGCTCAAGCTATCCTTCCACCTCAGCCTCCCAAAGTGCTGGGATTACAGGCATGAGCAACCACACCTGGCCCCAAGGATATTTTTAATTAGATGTTCACTCGTTTCTGTGTGGTCTGTTTCTTATCTTTATTCCCACCTACTCCCATTTTTTAAAGGCAAGCCTGAAATAGCATGTGAAAACCCACATTGTACAGTAGTACCTTTGAAGCAGCCTACTCTACACATTGCAGACAAAGATCCAATCCCAGAGGAGCAGGTAAGGGTGAAAACTACTGTTCTTTCCCTTGTTGGATTTATGTTTCTAATGAGCTTCAAAATTACAGCATAATTTATTGAATTTATATCAAATCATTAATTCTTAGTGCTTAACTCTGAATTCATTGAATCCGCCAGCAGACTTTTTTTTGGTTGTTATTTATAGCTAATTGTCCATATCTGAGTGGCTTTCAAAAGTGATTGAAGACATTGAAAATTAGTACAGAGCTACCTTTTGGGATGCTGGAAATGGTTTTATCTTGATCTGAGTAGCAGTTACTGGTATGTGTGCATATGTAAAAATCCTGTGCACTTGACTGCATGTACTGATATACCTTACTTTTAAAAACAAATTTTTGATAATCGCATTGGATATTGACAAAGATTACTTTTGTTCATTCTAAGAAAAACCTCTTTTCCTTAGGTCATATTATCTACTCATTATTTTTTTTTTCATGTATATTGAATAACAAGTTACTATTCAGTATTCTTAATTGCAAATGGAAACCAACCCTAGTTAGTTTAACAGACACTTTATTTAAACTTTTAGGTAGCTTACAGAATATTTCAGAGAGCCAGATAAGCAGGCTTGAATGAGGCTAGGGTAAACAGCCAAATCACTCAAAAGAACTGTTGCAATGGAGATATCATTGCTAAGTTAATGAGTGGAGATATTGCCTCTTGCTCCATCAATGCTGAATAGTAAAAATTACCTCCAAAAGTGCTACCTCAAGAAACATATCTGCAACATCCTGGTGCCTGCGTCTTTTTTATTTTTTTTCGAGACCGAGTCTCACTCTTTGACCCAGGCTGGAGTGCAGTGGCATGATCTCGACTCACTGCAATCTCTGCTGCCGGGGTTCAAGCGACTCTCCTGCCTCAGCCTCCTGAGTAGCTGGGATTACAGGCGCCTGCCACCGTGCTTGGCTAATTTTTGTAGTTTTTAGTAGAGACAGGGTGTCACCATCTTGGCCAGGCTGGTCTTGAACTCCTGACCTCGTGATCCACCCACCTCGGCCTCCCAAAGTTCTGGGATTACAGGCATGAGCCACCGCGCCCAGCTGGTGCCTGCTTCTTTTATCACAGACTTCTAAATCTGATCTGATGCTGGTACGTCTGATTAGAGGATCCCAGGTCATTTACCTGAGCCTATACTGTAAGGATACTGCTTGGGTAAGCAAGCATCCTACCCTCTGTCTTAGAGATAGGGAGGACCATAAGGTGGGGTGTTCCCTAATCCTTGGAAGAGTGTTCAAACTTCCTGGGAAATCCAAAAGAACCACAAGAAAACAAACATGCCTGACCACCTCCCTAAACTGCCAGCCCTTCTAATTTTGATTGGTTTTGATATAGCTAATGGCTGTAACACTAAGTGGATGGTATGTTCTCAGAGTAGAAAAATAACCACTGAAGTTGTTAAACTTTTTTATCCACAGTGCTTTCTAGTATCAACTGTTAGGTTTTTTTTGAAGATTTCAATTTATCCATAGGTATATATTTACTTTTTTCTTTTCTTAGCTCTGCTTTAATGACCTGTGCCAAATGCAAGTCCTTTTTTTTAATCTCAGAGATAAGTAAGTGCAAGTAAATGAATGCTCACTAGAGAATTGTCTGCTTCAAGTAAAGTGCTTTTTCTTCTATTCATTTTCAGGAATTAGAAGCTTATGTAGATGATATAGATATTGATAGTGATTTCAGAAAGGATGATTTTTATTACTTGTCTCAAGAAGACAAAGAGAGACAGAAGCGTGAGCATGAAGAATCCAAGAGAGTGCTCCAAGAATTAAAATCTGTGCTGGGATTTAAAGCTTCAGAGGCAGAAAGGCAGAAATGGAAGCAACTTCTATTTAGTGATCATGGTAAGCACTGACTTTAAAGTAACAGGTTATTTCAGTGTAGGAGACTCTCTTTCTTGAACCATTAATGTTGTTTTAGCTGAAGAATTCTTGGGGTTTTATAAGGGTCCACCAGTATGCATAGTACTTTTTCTTCTAGATGCTAAATCAATCTGATTAATAAAAGAGTAGGAATGTAACCATATTGGAGATACCAAGTCACACTTTTATATCGGTTATTTAATTTTTTAGTAAATTTGTTTTAGAATGGACAGTGAGTTGAGTAATTTGGGATATTTTAAATGTTATTTTCAAATTTAGTGAATTTGAGATTCTCAACTTTGTTCTCCATATGTTAAAATATTTTAAAATACCTCAGTGAAGCACAAAACTAATAACTGTGTTCACATTGAAAAAAGTGGCCCAGGTGTGGCAGCACATGTCTGTAATATTAGCACTTTGGAAAGCTGAGGCGGGTGGATCATTTGAGGTCAGGAGTTCAAGACCAGCCTGGCCAACATGGCGAAACCCCGTCTCTACTAAAAATACAAAAATTAACCAGGCATGGTGGCACGTGCCTGTAGTCCCAGCTACTTGAGAGGCTGAGGCAGGAGAATCACTTGAACCCGGGAGGCGGAGGTTTCAGTGAGCCGAGATCATGCCACTGCACTCCAGCCTGGGCAACAGAGGGAGACTCCATCTCAAAAGAAAAGAAAAGAAAAAAAATAATTAAAACCTAGACCAGTGAGCCACATCATTAGCATTATTTAAGTGGTTTGAGCACTTTAGTAGATGGGAGGGGAGGGGGGTGCCTGTGGACACACTCCCCATACTCTGATTTCAGCAGAATGGGATAGCTGGTGATGCAAAAGACTTAAATTCCTTTCTGTTTCTCACCATTCTTTTCTTAAGTCAAAATTCATGGGAGACAGGGGAAGGAATCAGGGGAAGCTTAATACTTGACAGTATCAACCTAGCTAATTCTTAGTTGAATTAATGCCTATGGATTTCTAAGTAGGTCGAGTACGACTTCCCTTCTATTTTAGAGTATCTGTGTGGACCCTCAAAATCAACTGCCTTCCTTTTCCCTCCTCACTAGAAGTATATAGATTACCTATACTTCTGGAAAGTTCCTCCAGTTCTCTTTTTTTTTTTTCTCTCAGGAGCCCTATGTTCTCCCCTGTCCAGATCTACATTTCTAAGTTTTATCATTCCTCTTTCTTCCTATTGGCTCCCTTTATAGCCCAGGTCCTCATTAGATTATCCTCGTACATTAAAATAGCCTCTTAGCTAACTTCTATTTTCAGTATCTTTTTCTTCTAAGCTATCTTGCAAACTCTTTCCAGATTTTTCTCCAACACTGCATTGATGATGGCTCTCTATCTTAAAACCTATAGTGATTTCTCCCTTATTGTATTGAATCTGAACTCTTCCTGTTTTCAAGTCTCTTCATCATAAGAATTCACCCATCCAATTATATTTTCTACTGTTTTTACTATAGGTGTCTTCTTATGTTTATCAAATTAAACTATAGTTCACAAATTTGTTATTTTTATTCATGAAAAAATTTCATGCTGGCCAAGCACGGTGGCTCACGCCTCTAATTCCAACACTTTGGGAGGCCAAGGTAGGTGGATCACTTGATGTCAGGAGTTAGAGACCAGCCTGGCCAACATGGAGAAACCCCATCTCTACCAAAAATACAAAAATTAGCCAGGTGTGATAGCGCACACCTGTAATCCCAGCTACTCTGGAGGCTGAGGCAGGAAAATCACCTGAACCTGGGAGGTGGAGGTTGCAGTGAGCCGAGATCGCGCCACTGCACTCCAGCCTGGGCTACAGAGTGAGACTCTCTCAAAAAAAAAAAAAAAAAAAAAAATTCACGCTTACCCCTTTGCCAAAAATTCTGCCTTCTCCACCAAGCTGTCCTCTCTACTAGTCTCTCCTTCTCCATGAATTCTTCTCTGAGTGCTCCAGCTCTACCACCTCTCCTAACACTACAGACCCTTGTACTAGAGGGACATTGTGATGAAAGATAAAGGAAGTCTTGAGCCCCAAAGCATATAGCAGAGAAGGGAAATGATTAACAGATTGATTTCCTGCAATCTGTTCATTCATATACTGAGCCTACATACATCAGAGATTAATTTTAGGCACTATTGTTTTCTATATGTTCAAGGTTTTGTTTTGTTTTGTGTGTCTCTGTAACAAAATTACAGTCTTCTTAAATAGGGGCCTTATTATCCCACAGCATTCATTCAGCAAATTACTCATTCAACAAGTAGTTATTGAGTACTTGTTATACATTAGAGTCTCTGCTGTATCCCTAGCACACGGATCAAGAAACAAAATGTAAAGCCTCCTACCTGCCTTGAGGCTTAAATTCTAACACACTGGTCAATTGATCCTCTCATTACACAGATTATATCCCCCCCATTTAATTAGTAATAATTGTGAATATCAACCAACTTCTAATATATGTTGCTTCCTTTAAGAGCTAACAGATTTATACACTAAGAATGTACATAGACTGAAAATAGCATTGTATATAAACTTGTATCCTTTTTTATTGTTTAGTGTTTTCTTCATATAGCTTTAAAGTTATGCTATTGACATTATGGGAAAAGATTTTATCAATGAGAGAAATGTATCTCTTTTTCAGGTATGTGCTTTTGATATAGTTTACATTGGAAAGGGTCACAATGCTGTTTTTTAGTTTGTGAAAATAAGTAAAAAGCTGCTGATACCATAGAATGATTTTCCCATGAAAAATTTCAGTACATCTTCCAGAGCTGTTTTCATCTCTGCCTACAGGGGTAAAGTCCGCATGGAATTAGAGGGGGAAAGTCTGCACTGGAACCTGCTGTGGCCATTTTTTTTCTGTTGTTGCTGCTTCTCTAGTGGAGTTACTGCAGCTTAGGGATGGTTCCTGGAAGTGGACACGTTTTACAAAAACGTTTTTTAAATACACGCCAGCTCTTCGAGAAGCACTTTTTTCCTTCCGTCATGCTTCATACTATATTGTATTGTACTAACCCCTCATGCTGGGATGAGCGACTGCCTAGCAAGCAACCCACTGCCTACTAACATCAAGAGGGGCTAAATAAAACTGCATTTTCCTTGCAAGGACAACTTCTACCGTATGAATATATGTTATATTTATGTATTATATTTTGTACAATAGTTGATCTTGAATGAAGACTTTATTTCATTTGTATTTTTCGTGGTACTACAAAATGTGTAGAAGTTATGGCTTTACTTTCATTAGGGTCTTGTGAGGTGGTTGGCAAGTAAGTTAAATTGTGTGTTGCATTTTTTCCATGCTGTTTTAACTTGTAAATATACATGTATACATGTTGAAGATATTATTATTATCTAGATTACTTTAAGCCTTTTATCTGACGTATTATCAGTGAAAACCATGCTGCTCATTCCCTAATACAGTGGTTCTCAAACTTTAATGTGTATCAGAATCAAGATGAGGGCTTGTAAAATACAGCTGGTCCCTACTCCCAGAGTTTCCATTTCAGGAGGTCTGGGATCAGGCCCAAGAATTTGCATTTTTAACAAATTCCTAGGTGATAAATGATAATGTTGGTTCAGGGAACACACTTTCAGAACCACTGCTTTAATATTTTAAATAAGATAATATGTGAGGTGTCTTAAAAACCTTCATCAAATCCCCATCTCATTTCATTTCTTAGGCATTTTCTCTCTTACAAAGTTTCCTGGATTTATAAATTTTCATTGATTTTACTAGAAAGTTTTATTTAGCTTTTATTTATTTATTGTTCTTTTTAAGAAAAAACTTAAACTGAGAGTTTGAATTAAAAGTTTAAATCATTGCTAGGTCCTTAGTTATTTTTTTTTCTTTTTTCTTTTTTTTTTTTTATTTGAAGCCGTGTTGAAATCCTTGTCTCCTGTAGACCCAGTGGAACCCATAAGTAATTCAGAACCATCAGTGAATTCAGATATGGGAAAAGTCAGTAAAAATGATACTGAAGAGGAAAGTAGTAAATCCACCACATCAGACAATGAAATAAGTAGGACTGAGTATTTATGTGAAAACTCTCTAGAAGGTAAAAATACAGATAATTCTTCAAATGAAGTCTTCCCCCAAGAAGCAGAAGAAAGAATGTGTTACCAGTGTGAGAGTGAAGATGAACTGCAAGCAGATGGAAGTGGTCTGACCACTGCCCCTCCAACTCCCAGGGACTCATTACAGCCCTCCATTAAGCAGAGGCTGGCACGGCTACAGCTGTCACCGGATTTTACCTTCACTGCTGGCCTTGCTGCAGAAGTGGCTGCTAGATCTCTCTCCTTTACCACCATGCAGGAACAGACTTTTGGTGATGAGGAGGAAGAACAAATAATAGAAGAAAATAAAAATGAGATAGAAGAAAAGTAAGAACCAAGATTCATATGAAGTGATTTTAGATTGTTCCTTTTACAAAAGTGTTTAGCTTCAAGACTGGAAAGGGAATATGAGTGTAAGTTTACTATATATAAAGCTAAGATGTGGATTTACAGGAAGAACCCTGGTTTGAATAACTGATCTGAAAGTAGTAGTTACCTGTAAATGGCAGATCTTTTAGGAAAATAAGAGAAAGGTAAGGGCTCTTTTGAATAAACTGCTGTTTTATTTGTGGCACAACTGATCAATCTTGGAAATTCTTTAAGTATTTTTAATAAGAAATGAATTATCATTTCTTGCCAGAATTTGCTACCATAAGGTGATTGGGAAAATTCTGTTGCAAGAACATTAACATTTAGTATGACTCCTTTTTACTGTATTCTTGCAGTTAATAACTGCAGCTATTATGTTAATAACAAGTTGTTTGTATTTTATTTTTGTTTATACCAGTCTTAAAACAAAGATCCAGGTTCTGAATAAAAAAATTAATTGATACAATTGATGTGTGCTGGGGTTTGGAACTAAAAGTAGTTTCAACAGTGCAGGGGTTATGACATTTCTTATGTTTCCTTGTTCGTGTGCATATTTAGTAGTTAATTTTAAGATGTCCTAGTGATCTTTAAAAGAAAAACATTGTACGGTTTTTTAGAATTACACTTTCACCTTTCTTTCTGCAATTGAAAGTGATGATGTCCAAGTGGGATTCTTGTACTCCAAGGCCCTACCCCCAATTTAGCAAGCAGAAAAATGTTCCTTGTATCACTTTACCTTGGATAATTGGGTACCATTAACATAAACAGGTCACAATGCTGCTGTTGTCTAGCCCTGTCCACCTTAATGAGATTCAGAAAACATCCTGTCAGCCTGCTGGAAAGCATCCTTGCCTCCTTAGTATTTCATTTACAAACTACCTCTTAACAGAGACTGCTTTTCAAATTGGCCAATCTCATCTGTCTTGTGTTGTGATTGCATTTTCAAAGAGTAATTATTTTCAGCGTATACAGTTTTGAGACCTGTAGCTCCTATGCAGTACATAGTTCTATAGACATTATTTGGGAGAAATGTAGGAATAACTCAATTTATGTTGCTGTCCTAGAAAGGAAATTGCATGATGAATCTAGATTGTCTTTAGAGTAAAGAAACACATTCAAATTCCTGTAACTTATCACTTTTAGTGAGTAAATTTACTTATACCGAAGGGGATTTTTTTTCTTTTAGGAATCTAAGGAAATTTACTTTTTAACCTGAGAAAAAACTTGATTTTGCTTTATATAAATAGTAGAGATTATTGTACTATAAGTGATTTTGCCTTTTTGCCAAAATCCTGGAACTTATCTATAATTAACCTCTTAGGAGCAATACCTTAGGTTGGGCCTTGCTTTACTACTTAGAAATAGCTAAATTTCAATTTTAAAAATCTTTATGTGTTATAACTGTTAAATTCTTCAATAATACTTAGGGTTTACTTTCTTATTTAAATCGCTTATTTAGTTTACTGATTTCTTTTTCTTTGGATTTAGAAGAGGCAATTATGGAAAAACTTGGTAATCTCTCTCTTAACCTATAACCTTACACAGGAAAGAATTAGAGTTTAATAATTTTTAATTATTTTATTGTATGTTATTTTTATTACACAATTGTAATAGCTATGCAGTTGAAATAGCTATGCAATTGACACTTAATTAGAAAATAAAGCTACAAAGTTTGGGGGAAATATCTTCAAAATGTTGTATCAGTTTTATTCAGTGCTCTCTAAGGTGATACCTTTTTAATTTTGAAGGACTAAATAATTTTAATCAAGAATTTCCAGTCTTTCAGTCTGATCTGTTTCATTCACTACTTGTTACATAATCCAGTGAAAACTCTACTTATTGAAATTATGGCATAAAGATCTTGCAGCTTTATTTGAATATTTATTCTTTTGTATAGTTTTCATCTTTTAAAATATTTAAAATATTTTCTAGATAAAGTATTATCTTCTCTGCACAAATTCCTGGAGTAATTTTCTCTCATAATATTTGAAGTCAGTGTTTCTCGGTTGTATTAGTGGGGTAACTACATCAAAATAAAGTCTTATTTTTAAAATGCAAATTTTAGACCATACTCCCAGTGATTCTTAGTTGGTCATTTTGGAATGAGCCGTAGATAATGTTTATGTCCAATAAAATCTAGGAACCTCTGTCTAGGACTTTGCTCTTCTTGCCATGAATACCTTAGGAAGTATTTAAAAACAGACCAATGCAATATAAGTAGATTTTCTTGTTTGTTACTTTTCTAAGAATATTTTACTTCCCTTAGCAGGCTTTTGACTAGCTTTCAAAGCTGCCACCCTGGCCGGGCGTGGTGGCTCACGCCTGTAATCCCAGCACTTTGGGAGGCCGAGGCGGGCAGATTTCCTGAGCTCAGGAGTTCAAAACCAGCCTGGGCAACATAGTGAAACCCCATCTCTACTAAAAATACAAAAAATTAGCCGGGCGTGGTGGCAGACGCCTATAATCCCAACTACTCGGGAGGCTGAGGCAGGAGAATGGCATGAACCTGGGAGGCAGAGCTTTCAGTGAGCCGAGATCATGTCACTGCACTCCAGCCTGGACGACAGAGCGAGACTCCGTCTCAAAAAAAAAAAGCTGCTACCTATATACAGAAGAATCCCTCTGGGGAAAAAAATAAAACATTGCAGGGAAAACTTACAATTGTGCTTTTTAAGTTTTACAGTATGATTTTTAACAGTATGATTCTTATCAGGAGTATCTTCCTGACAGTTTTTAATACAGATGTTTCTGTAGTTTGTTTTACCAGGACAAACCTAGTACTTAATGGAAGAATGCATGTGAGAGTCTATTTAGGTCACTCTTGAAGACAGAATTTTTACCCTTTGTCTACCTCCAGGTAGGAAAGTTCATTTAAAACTCAGTTTTCTTAAAATAATAGCAATATTCTGATTTACATAAGAAAAGTTATAAAGCTTTTAGTGTTAAAGCATTAAAAAAATCAAGTCCTGATACATTCCACAAAATTGTAAGTCAGTGGAGTGTGACCTTACAGATCATTTCACTCTGGTGACTAACTCTTCACTTCCCATCAATAATGTAAAATATGAAACTTTTTTGACAAATTATGAGAAATCATATGGGAGTAAAAGTTCAACTGATTTGGTTTAATCGTAGTATATTGTTCCTATACCCAAACCAAAGAAACAGGTTAAATACTATAAGAGTGTGTTATAGCTCGGCTAAATCATTGTTTGAACTAAAGTAGGTATTATACTAAGAATGACAACCACACAAGGCCTAAAGATTGATTTATTTTTCCAATTCTACTTACAAGAAAATAGCTATGCAGTTCACATTTAATTAGAAAATAAAGCTACAAATATTTTAGAAGAGAAAATATAGAAAAAAATTCAGTAACAATTCATTGATCTGTCATCATAGACAGGTGATTAATTTGCCTAAGTTAACTTCTCAGCTAACTAAAATCCATTTTAATAATTTAGTAACTAAATGCACTACTTCTCTACTTTGTCTAGAGTATATAGAATATAATTTAACTTTTTCTGTCATCTTTAGGAATATCAGTTTCTATCATGGGGTGATAAACAGAAACTCATCCTCAGGGGCTACTGAGATATATGTCAGGTACCCCTTTACAACATGACCTCACATTGGTGTGCTTTTTTGAGTTATGTCTGTTTTTCACAGTTTCTCTATCTTCCCTTATAATCAGCTGTCACTTTTGCTGCTGTCTTGTGTGCCTGCCTCCTGCAATAGGCCCCTAATTTGCTGCTTCTAATCTGCTGTGGACTGAGAAACCAGATTGCCAAGCTTGCTAGAATTGTGTCTAAAATAAGAGTAAGTAGACTGAAAGAGAGCTAAGGGGCTTTTCTGTCAGTAAAGTGCATGGACTTTGTGATACCTGTTTGACTGCTTAGCATTCTTTTGTTTGCCTCTTAGTTCTTTACTAAAAACTTGCCAAAACAAATAGTTGGCTGAATATATGATTGCCATATATTTGAAGTTCTAATTCAGTTTTTATATAATGATGTTTCTAGGACTTCCATTAATGAATTCAACTATAGGAGAAATTTGACTATCATTTTTGAATAAATAATTGTGTATATTTCAGAAAAATGTTAAATATATAGTTCTCATTCATTGTTCTTAGTACAGTACACAGATTTAAAACTTATGGCACTATAAATGTAACTTCAACTCCGTTCATCAAGATTTACGTTCCAGAACTATTGGTATGAGACTAAAGATGGCTAATTTGATAAGAACTGGCTAACTTGAATATTTGGGGAATGAGTCATTCTAGATACCCCAGTTTCCTGCAGAGCTTGAACCTCTTTCAGCACTAAAATTTTTTGGAATAATCTCTGAAGGAAATCTTCATAAAATTGATATGCATTACTGTCTTCTTAAATAGTATATGAATGTATTTTAATTTGGTATCAAAATGATCATTAACATTATTTATTATAATCTGATAGACTAATCGAAATGGCTCCATTCTGCTGTGCTCGTTTTAGTTTTCATGTCTTTGTTTTTTAACAGTCGTTTTTCCATTTCTATTACTGCTTGCTTAAGTGTGCCTGTAGCAGTAGCCCTTCTCTACCTTCATAATGTGCCTTCTGATCTGCTTTCATTTTGGAGACCAGATTACTAAGTTTATTAGACTTACCTGTAAAGTAAGAGTAAATAAACTCAAAGTGAAGACTTGAGGAAGTGGATTATGCTTAAATGCATGGATTTTGTGACATCTGTTACTTTACTACCTGTTTCATTGCTATCATTAAAATAAGTGAAGTTACCAAATTAGATACCTGCTCTCAAAATAGAAAAGTTGTTATTGTACAAAAGAAACCATTTTGTTTACATACTTTACTTTCTCTAAAATTAGTTCTATACTGGAATTATTTGGCGCTGATTAAAACTGGTCCACTCAAGTTAGCATTTTCTATAGTATTTTCTATTTGAATTGGAGACTACATGCTGTTAAGAATTTCATCGGCTTTTTTTTTTTGTTCTTTTGAAACAGTCTCGCTCTGTCGCCCAGGCTGGATAGAGTGCAGTGGCGTGATCTTGGCTCACTGCAAGCTCCGCCTCCCAGGTTCACGCCCTTCTCCTGCCTCAGCCTCCCAAGTAGCTGGGACTACAGGTGCCTGCCACCACGCCCGGCTAATTATTTGTATTTTTAGTAGAGATAGGGTTTCACCATGTTAGCCAGGATGGTCTCGATTTCCTGACCTCGTGGTCCACCCGCCTCAGCCTCCCAAAGTGCTGGGATTACAGGCCTGAGCCACCGTGCCCAGCTGGCTTTTTTTTTTTTTTAAGAGAGAAATATATCTTCATTTCCAAGACATGAAAATAGATTTAAGCCCTGAAAAATAAGAAAACATTCACCATTAATGTCACAGAGACCTGAGAAGTAATAAAATTTATAGACTATAGGCAATTATACCACAAAGAATTTATTTTTTGATTATGCTAGTTTTA